ACCTTGCTTATTGTAAGTCATTGTACTCTATTGGCATAGACCATGACATAAAGTCATGTTGAAGCCTAACAATTTAAAGACCGATTTAATGTAAAATTAAACTAAATCAAGAGTCAAGGAAAACTTACAGAATCAGAAAAAAATCATCAATTCATGTCGACAGATAAATGTTTCATCTCAAACAAAAACATATATGAAACTCCTGACGATTGAAAATAAACCATTTCTTTCACTTTCATAATTATTAGTGAGCGCGTTTGGTTTCACACCGCTTTGATTAGTGTTCCAGTTACATTACGGCATATCAGCTTAATGTAGGAGGAACGCCCGGGGTGATGCACGTCTCAGACGTTTATAGTTTTTGTGAAACCCACAAGCACGGGTATGTAGCTGACATAACTAGAAATATAATCTGGGCAAAACACTCGTTGATTCAACCCACGATCATAGGTTTCTTGCGTGCCCAAGGGACGCAGCTCTGAACAGCAAATTGCGGCGCCTTATACGACGGGGACACCCGTGACCCCTTACAATCATGATGTAAGTATTTAAATTAGATAAACATGTACAATTAAGCATTTACAGATCAAGTTGGGAAGGTGTGGCATCGATGTCTTCGCCAATAGAGGGTTATGTGTCCATGAATTGGTTCATTTTGGATTTCATGCAATAATAGTAAAAGATTTTTACCTTTTCAAATGACAAGGGCAAAGAAAATAATACCACAACCAACATTAAGCAGAAAGAATAATTTAAGACACAGAGCATCAACTGCAAGTGATACATCTTTCCAGGTGACCACTGTATTGCACTTCTTCTGATCAATGTCTTCAACTGGATCGTCCTGTTCATCAGATTCCATTGCATTCATAGGCGGATTAGGAATAACATATTTCCAAAATGTGACATAATTCTGCAACACTACAGGTACATCTCCCGTTCTCTGATGGATCTTAAGAATGAAAACTGATATTGCCACAGTAAGGGAGCTGAGAGTGAGGAGCAGGGTCATGTAGATGGTGAGGTAGGACGTCTGTAGGGATGTCCTGGGCATGTTGTTGCTCATCTGCGTCAGAAACAAGCTGAATGAGAGGAGAACCGTCATGGAGAGAGACACTTTATCCCCGTATTGTATAGGCAGAGCAAAGACCACGGAGCTGAGGAGGGACAGAACCATGACAGGGATGATGAGATTGAGGACATAATATGACGCCCGACGCTGTAAGATTGCTGTTACAACGATTTCAGGAAATTTGTTATCAGCGGTAGCGGATGACAAAGTTTTAATCTTCCACAGTCCATTCACATTAGTTGTGACGGTACTGCTGTTTTCATCAATTGAAGGTATGAAACGAGCAGATGTGTTCGTGGTCGTCCACGTGGAGAGATTCAGATGGCAGGTCTGAGTATCAAATGGAAAATGTGTAATGTCAAAGTCACACTGACTTTGGTAGAGATCCCCTTGTTCCCATTCAACCGTTCCAGAATGATGTACACAAGCAGGCGCATTCAGATTGTTCAGCAGCTTGCGCTCTTCAACTGTGTTCATGAGCGTTATGTCGGGCATCCATATATTTTCACTTGACATACAGATCATCTCTATCCCTGCATAATCCGAAATGTTCCACCTCAATGAATCATCCCGCCACTTAAAGGAAAACCATCCATTTGTGGTCATCGATTGTCGCCTCTCATTAAGCTCCGTAATTTGCGACAAAGTAAATCTTACGTCTATATCCAACCTGGTTTCACTTGGAAAAACTTGCGGCTCATAGTCATCTTGCAAAAAATGAAGAAGTCTCTTCTGTTCTTTGATGCTGGTCCCTCCACATAAACAGATCAATGTAGTCAAGCAGATGAAATGTTTGAAGATCACCATTGCTACCTATCTATACATGCATCTGTACTGAATACCAGACTGAGAGATGTTCGATAGGAGAAATGCTTAACACTACTGAATAGTATTTCAGTTATATCAAAGCGTGTCAGCTTAATGTTAAAGGAACACCCTCGACAGCAGGCGTCAATACCTTTTGGGTGATTTTATGTTCGTGTTTCACACTCAAGTGTTATAATGGAACCTGCTGTAGTTCAAGTATTAACACGAGAAATCATAAAATTTCGCCTCTTCTCTCAATGGCTCAACACACTGGCAACGTGAAAACCCATTACTGGCTAAGGAGCATAATGGCATAGGAGTATTTTCACAATCATTCTGTTATCATATTGCATCTGTGGAACAGACGGGATTCTGGTTTAATGCAAATAACTGATTACTTCAGTAATATGTTTTGGATGCTATACCTGCGTTGATGATTTTATTACTGGTGGTTATTTTACAATGTGACGCCACTGCATACAGAACATAGAGGTGCCAACACAATCATAATAGGAATTTACTAATAAACTTTCTTTGTTCTATAATGAAAGAGGACGCATACATCTGAAAACAGTTTAGGTTTTAGAATGTTTGTGATAATGAAGTGATAATGCTAAAAAGGTTTTAGACACCTCCAACTGCATTTGACTTTGGTCATTACTGGCGATATTGCAAAATAAATATCTCTTATTTCAGAAACTGTTTTTGATCACGAATTGAAAGATACTAGCAGCAACTCTTACAGGGCATGGTGGCGAAATATTTCACAACAGATAACAGTATCGCATGAGACCAGAGGATTCTAAGTGCTCTTAGGTTTGTGATCTCATGGATTCTTGGGACAAGAAAGAAAAAGTTGGAGTATCAGGCAACACATCGTCCAGTGAATACATAAAGGAGGTTGATATAGGGTTCAATGTGGCAATTGTACAGTCAAATACTCACAGAAACCTGGATTGTCTATTGGTTTTCATCCGTTATGGTTTTGGTTGTTGGTTGGTTGGTTGTTTAACGATGCACTCAGCAATATTCCAACTATATGACGGCGGTCTGTAAATAGTCGAGTCTGGACCAGACAATCCAGTGATTGACATCATGAGCAACGATACACGCAATTTGGATACGATGACATGTATCTAACCAAGTCTGCGCGCCTGGCCACCCGAACCCGTTAGTCGCCTCTTACGCCAAGCATAGTCGCCTTTTACGGCAAGCATGGGTTGCTGAAGACATATTCCAATCCCGATTCATATTTTGACACTAGCTTGGGTTATGTCTAAGGTTAGGGTTATCTTAGTCTGTATGTATATCTCAGCCCCACAATCTGGAAGAAAAATACAGGGAAGCACCTAACCTGAAGTACAATTAATTAGGAGCTTTTGATTGGTACACTGATTAAAATGCCATGTGTTGCCTACCTCCTTGGAGAGTGACGAAGAGTGAATCGAAAATAGGAATGCACCCGTGATCAGTTGCAGATATTGGAACAACATTGTCCCTTCCAGGTGCCAAGAACTGTCAGGTTGTGAAGGGAATCGTATTGACGCCAAATGTACGTGTCTGATTCGGTCACACATTTGGCATAACAATTCCAGGAAAGAGATGTTGTTAGACGTCCGTGTGTACGTACATTCAGCAAATCCGGTGCCGCCTGTCCATTGTTGAGGAATATGCTGCACCCTATCTGCACCCAATGGAGCCTCAAACAGGCGGTCTGTGCAACATGGGGCGGCTGCCAACGTTGATGCAATGAAGATAGCAAACAGCAATGGCAACGGTGTATATGAATGCATATCTCTACCACAGACTTGTATAAAGCTACATTCCCTATGTAAGGATAAAGATAACGTGACATAAATAAAAGCCACAAAACCCTCTCCATAATTACAAGAAATCGTAAAGCAGTGCGATTCCAACTCTATCGTGAGCATGTCTTTCCTAATCAATTTCAAATAATGACACCAGGTGTTCGCAAAAAGGTTTGGTATATTGTCCACCGGTGGCATACCACACAATGATAAGACAATGATACAATATTTGCAAAGAAAATAATTGTTTCATACTAAAAAGGCATTATAGTTTTATTCTTATTAATTAAAACAAATTAATGACATATATCAGTCTCTATGGTTATTTAAAAAACTTATATAACGTATTCATAGAATAACCACTCTCGATTAACTGGGCGTGAAAGGCAAAATAGAGGTGAATCCTTATGAACTGATCACTGAAAATCAGTGATGGAACCAGTTGTTTGAAAAACATGGAAAACAGAACACTTAATCTTACTCCATTATACACAAAAGCATATTTCAATAACAGATATTTTCGTTCTTCAGTATTTGCTTTGTGTCTTGGTGGTTCACACATTGAGAGATTAGTCAACAGTATTCACTGTATGCTACAGCGACATTTTAGTTACAACACCAACTGTTCTTACAATTATAAATTTCCTAGCACGTCATGATTGAGCAGGTCAAAGTCCTTTGAAAAAAAAGAAGCATTATTCTTTTTTTTTTTGTCACCAATTTTCCAGGGCAAGAATGAAGGCATCCTCTCAGCTGTTGTGAAATAGCTTTAGTGTTTCTAACAAGAGCTTTCTCAAAATCATTCACTCACATCAAGAATCAAGAAGTTTGAGTGAGTGAGTGAGTGAGTGAGTGAGTGAGTGAGAGTACTTTCAACAGTATTTCAGTTATATCTGTCAGCAATATGCAGAAGGAAAGCTCAGAGGAGTGAAGGTCTTAGAAGTTCATAGTCCTTGGTGAAACTGGAAGCATGGTTACAGTGCTGACAAACTAAGAATAATAACAGGGCAAATCTGCCCTGATCATAGGATGGATGCACACCTAATGATTGCAACTTAGCATTAGAAGGTGCAATATCTTGGATGACTGGCCACCCATATCCCATGGGAAGTATCTGACAACTGAACTCACACACAGTGAATCCATTCATGGCAAATAGCTGCAGTGGCCTAAATAGTCCTGGGTCAGACACCTCAATCATGTATCACACTCCAAGGCACTGACATCTAAACGAGACAGCTTCAGAAAGCACAAGAGAGATCTTTATTGTCATCAAACTTCTGTTTCCTAGTTACCAACAACATAACAAAACACAGATTGTAAAATTTATTGAACTCCACAATATCTATGGAGTTTTTCAACTCCGCCCGATCACATTGCGATGACATGACAGAAGAAAGCCTGACATTAACAACACTTCAAGTCAATCTTGTCACTGGACTAGACACGTGTATGTGTTCCAGACAAATGTCATAAGGACCATAAATTCAAGCAACTTGTGCCATAATGAACACAAGCTCTTACGAGTTTGGAGAAACAGATTTTGGTCCAAACAGTTATTTTAAGTGAGGTATGTTTTAATAATTGACTATGCAAAAAATATTCTATCTTGAACAGTGGAACAGTGCAGTTAGTAATATAAGAGAATCTGAATTGTTTTGAGCTTTTGTTTTATCGGTGAGAAAGTGACTTCAAATATATGGATTTCAAACCAACATTTTCCTGCCTAGTTAATTGAACGTATTGCCTTGAACCATTAACCATGTGGATTATTCCGACATGTAAGGATATGAATGTTTAGTTTGCTAAGGGCAGTCAATGAAACATGGACTTGATTCAAATTGTGCTTTACAAGGTGTATATTTACACTGACACTGGTTTCACACACTGGGAATCTGTACACTGTCTTGTAAGAAATGTACATAACATACAGCGATATAAAATTAGCATGCCATACATCAACATTTACAAAGCATAGATCAGAAAACGGACATGATATTGTGGTCAACATATCTTGCATACTGAATCACAAGAATAGAAAAAAACATAATGTCCATCTTTTTACCATTTCCAAGTATTTTGTTCTTCACACCTCTGGATGATGTCTGCATTGAAACATTTGAAATATACTACAATGAAATGTAATACACCACATGTTATAAGTGATAAATACAATTAAAGTGACTGTTATATTGTTCACATTATAAAATAACAAACATATTTTCTTGCTTGTTGTTTACCACCATACTGTAAGGGTAATGCTATTCTTCAGGGCATTATCATTTGTTGAAGCCTGAGGTTTTTCATTTAACTGCCCGACGAAGGAGGGCAGTTGAAAAGACCGAGGGTTTCTGCAAATGGCAATGCCCTGAAAAAAAGCGTTACCGTTATTATAGCTAAAATGGATGGAATTTGCTATCAAATAAAAAAAACCACTATCAGTTTGGGAACATTTACTGCAATCAACATGAATGTCACTGACCCACTTTTACAAATATGGAAACGTCATTGAACAAACCAGATGACGTCAGTATAGAACATTAGGGCATTATTAAGTTACAGTGGTCAGCTCATTTCTGTTAACATGCGGGTGGTTTAATGATAATACTATCCGTTTTAGCTATAATAAGCAATATTCAATTATATGGTGGCAGCCTGTAAATAATTGAGTCTAGACCAGACAATCTATTGATTGGCATAATGAACAATGATCCAAGCTGTCGGGGTACAATGACACGCCAAGTCACCAAATCTGATCACCCAATCCATTAGTTGCCTTATGACAAGCATATTCTTACCTGGAATCCACACGGTATAAACTAATAATGGAGCACAGAAATGTTACCCTGAATGACAGTGATTGAGGTGTCATGCTGTCACCAATATGTGAAGACACATGACAGTTTTCTACACCAAATAGATTTGCCAATAAGATCAATGGCTGTAGGACTGAGACACACGGGCAAAATCACTGAAAATTAGTCAACTGTGGAAGGCCAAGTTTTAGATCAAGTTGCTGTAGTATGTTGATGAAGATCTCCATCATTACATAATGTCATTAAGAAATGTGTGTGACATAATGTGAAGGTGATGTCCAATATGTTTGAATGTAAGTTGCATGATATCCATGATACCTCTATCTTGAAACAACTAGTAACCATGAGGGAGCAAGAAAAATACATGGCAAACCTTCAACTTCTTTCATGTCCTACTCACCCATACTACTAAAATACCAAAGATATATTACACACTTGAGTATCTTTTGGCATATGATACCATCGATAATGAATTAAAGAAACTACCAAATGCTATATATGCAATATGACCATATGAAGCTATCAGACCCATGTTACATAAATCTAAGAAAAATAGTTTTCATAATATCATTGAATCGATGGACTTACAATTCATATCCATCTTTGTTGCACGGTATAAAGGGCACCAACTGCATCTAACTACAAATGAATGACATGTCTAAATGTCCCAGTCTTTCATTGTTATCAATAGTTTCCCACCTAACCACTTTCTCAGTAATGTTTTATATTTCTTTTCTGTATTCTTCTTCCGTTTTTTTTGCCATAAATATGAATGTTGATACAATTTTGAGCAATTGTTTGAGGAAAATAATATTATTCGCTGGTACAGATTCTCTTACAATGTCATATAATTCTGTGGAATACACAGTGCTTTCACTGAACAGCAATACATTGCCTGATAGAGGACCAAAATGCTACAGAAGAACCTCTTTATTTCAGCAATTGAACTACATCCCTGGAAGACTAGCACAGACAGCCTGCAGCCCCACAGACAAGGTAATTGACACATCCTAGTCATATCTTCCACCACATAACATCACCTTATGTCAGCCTACTACCAGAGGATAGTCCAGTGATGCAGGTTATAGACGATTACCACTTGGCAAGCATGGGTATATTGCTGACAAACCAAAAACCATAATTAGGGCTGATCTGGGATTGATTCAAACACATGATCAGTGAATCCTGATATGGCAAAGGGATGCAACTCTGCAGTGAAATGTGGTGACTTAGACCACCCATGACCCTCTTTCTGAATAACATTATTTTGGGAAAATAATGACAATAACCTCTCAGTTGACAATAAATGCTACAGTCCAGCACTACATGCTGATATTTAGCAAAATAGAAATTCTTCTTGAAATTGTGCAGATGAAGAAAATGTGTATCTTGGATTTATAAAATGGCATAGAAAGTTGAACACATAGATACCATTAGCATAAACTGACAATGAATTTGTCTATGGTCAAAGAATATCACATGAAACAGTAAGCAATTTTTCGCACCATTTTGATAGTAAATGGACTGAAAAAATGAAATGCACCTTCAACCTATATAAGTTTGTATATTATTGATCGAACACTAAAACACCCATAACAGTAACTGTTCACGTTACCATGTTCACCCTAAAATAAACATGTGAAATCACCTTTCACCATATCATTGAATATTTTGTAGAAACTATTCTCAACAATAAATATTTTCTCTAAAAAGCAAAACAATAAACAAAACATAACTGGTACTTAATCTATTGATATTAATATTTCTGAACATTTTACTATAATCTTACTTCCATAATGATGGTAATCGGTTATTTGATGCCAATTGCAAACAGAATTCATTTGCAACAGATTCACCTGCCAATCCATTGTAATCCTTTGATATTGAAAGGAATAAATTAAATTAAAACTTTAGCAATTTTCATCATATCATAATGCTTATTAAAGCCAGTCAATCTAGAAAGTCATTCTTGTTGTATATTTCCATCAAATGTCAATCAGGAAATTTCTAGCAGTCAGTTTTAATAATAATTGTAGCCAATCAATGTAACTGTCACATCCATCTTCAGCCAATGGACTTCAAAGGTCAATCATTCTTGTGTGTCATTGGTGGAAACTCATTATCATCGTCCAATCGTAGCGCAGCAATGCCTTGTCCTTCTCCATTGTCCCCGCCCACGGCACCCTCTAGCTCCTCCTGATAGGGCTGGGATTCTGCAATGAAAACACACTGTCTCAGCTTTCTTGTTTCAGAGAAACGCTGAATTTGAACACACTTCATGTTCACATTATCATAAAAATACACAAAGCTTTCTCCATGTTTAAATTTCATCATTTAATATCACTGACAATATTCACTTTAAGACCTAATCAAAGAACCTAATTAATATTATTGCTGATATGTATATTACTCAAAAAAAGTCAATGAATACCAGATTTAAAAAAATACAATTCAATATTATCTACTGATTCATGAAGTTCACAATATAAGAATAATTCACTGTAATTTCCTTGGAATTTACACTGTATTCAACATTGGTCATAAAGTTTACTAATTTGAATGCTTAAGTATCAAATTTCCAGAAACAGGTAAATACAGCTGGCATTAAGCCATGGACACTGAACAAGTTGTATAAAGATACAATATTATCATTATCAATCACAACATGATGCTACTATTGTCATTTATAAGCATGATAAGAGTAGACATTCAATTAGTTACCAATGTTACAGCAAGATGGATTAGGTAGTTTTTTTTTTTTTTATGGGAGCAAAAGCAATGTAATTTATCTACATCACATTCAGACTTACTCTACAAACTTTCCCCTACCATGCTTTCAGTATTCACCAGTCTGCATTGTGAGGATAGTAAACCACTTACCTGTGCCAAAACTAGTCAACTGAATGTGAAACAAATTGTTTTCCACACTATTTCATTATTTTATTGCTATACCAAAACTTTTCATAAAGACACAAGATAATGTGTACACCCTTCAATCATATCTGGTAACTATTTAATTATGGCAGGTGACTAACGGGATTGGGTGGTCAGGCTTGCTGACTTGGATGATGCGTGTCATCGTATCCCAAAGGGATCAATGCTCATAATGTCAATCACTGGATTGTCTGGTCCAGACGCGACTATTTACAGACTGACTTCATATAGCTGGAATATTGCTGAATGAGACGTTCAACAACAAACAAAATTATGCTACAATGACATAAGACAGAAGGCTATAGGGTTTCATGGTTAGAATAGATATTCAATAAAACACATTCAGAATATTTTTCTAAAAGTAAGGAGCAATGGTTCAATCTACACCTCCATTAAATTACTGAGTCCAGGATTATTTACACGGATCCTTTAGAAGACTCGCCCCTGACCTGAATACAATGTGCTGCAGACATTTTGTTGTTCAAACTGTGAGAAGGAGATCCAGGCACAGCTGGTTTGTTTGTTTGTTTGTTTGTTGTTTAACGCTGTACTCAGCAATACTCCAGCTATATGACAGCGGTCTGTCAATAATCAAGTCTGGACCAGGCAATCCAGTGACTGACAACATGATCATTGATCTATGCATTTGGAATACTATGAGATGCATCACTCAAGTCAGGGAAGGGAGCCTGACCACCTGATTCCATTAGTCGCCTCTTTTGACAAGCATGAGTTGCTAAAGATAAATTCTAACCCAGAGCTTCATGAGGGTGTGCTGCAGACGACCCCCAGAACCTCAAGTACAGACAGGTATGGAGGTAGATTTGCATGCCTTGCTTAGTACAAATGACATACATTGTTCATTTAGTGATAGGTTATGTGTGTTCATGCAATTATCACTGGATAACAAGAGTTGTGCTTAGATAGAAGTATAATTGTCCCATATACATAAATCTATTCTTACATATCAAGAGGTACTTCAGCAGAAATAACAAAGGAAATTCAATACACAGTAATCATGAAACTAGATTATGTAACCAAGGTAATAGTCAGCTTCTCACAAACATGATTCTTTGTCTAATAAATTTCACCAAGATGAGTGAGTTTGACACTGCTTTGGACAGTATTTCATTTCTTTCCCAGTATGTCAGGGAAGCCAGTAGTTGTGCAAGTCTTCGACATTTACCACTTTGCTGAAAACCATGAGCACAAGTATGGTACCTACTAAGAATCTGAGTAAACCTGGGAATTGAACCCATGACCAAAGGTTTCTGGCACACCTTGTGAAGCAACTGTGCACCTCCTTAGATGACTGGGAGACCTATGCCCAACAAGCTGCATTCAAGCATGTGCCACCTTTTCGTTACTCTTGCAGTATCATCCTTGCCACCAGTGTGGATGTGCCCATTACAATAATCTTCAATTTTTTGCCCTAAAACCCCAAATGTGATCATGGTGATGGCATGCATATTTGTTTGTGTGTCTGTCAGTTTGCCACACAGAAAATTTAGAAAAGGTCTACGACAGACTTGCTATTTTCAAAACAAATTTACATTTGTTTAGTTTCACATTGAGGACTAATGGAACAGCACCTTACTTCACTCTTACATTCTCACTATACTACTTCAATGATAGCTGAAAACAGTAGAGACTGTTGTAAATTAATTAATTTGTCAGTGGCAGACAAAGATTGTAGTGCTGGTATGTTGAGTGCTGTCAGTGGCAGCGACTGAGTATAATTTAGAGTTACCTCCCCTGATTGTTGACAAACATGACACTCTTTATCATTTGAGGTGTTTCCAGATGGGACAGTTTCTAGAACTCTGTCTGTAGCTACATAAGATCAACATGATGGCGACCAAACTTGTGCCTTATCTACTTGCCAAGTGCAGACTGAATTCCTGCCATCATCCAACACTCTTCCGGATTCAAGAATGGAGACAGGCATGTTAGTCATTTGACAGAGACAAAGTCTGGATGCACTGTATTACCTTCAGCGATTGTAAACCTAAAACTGTGTGTTACAATATACTTTGTTAATCATCCATTGATCTTGTATGTCATTTACTATTTAGTTAGATCTCTGGGTTAACCTTAGTGCTTCAATTCTGAAATCACCTCATAGCAAACACTGATGAACGAACAAAACAATTTAGTGTGGGGAAAGTTATCACAACAGTCAATGCTAGTTTGTAAACATAACCATCAGTCAGTTGAGTGTTAAACTCCATGCATGGCTGTAAAGTTGGTTGGTTGGTTTGTTGTTTAACGCCGCACTCAGCAATATTCTACCTACATGATACTTCTGAGTCTACTCAACTGAATCATTCTCAATAGATTTAGTCTCACCAACCAATTTGGACTACAAAATACTTCAAATTTGAGATACCACCCCAACCATAACAGAACAAGCAAAAGTGCAATTTTCAGTCCTATTCTAATGTAGACAAGTGCACATACAAATTTTAAAAAAAGAAAAGGATTTTAAAAAAAGTTTGTTTGTTTGTTTGTTGTTTAACACCACGCTCAGCAATATTCTGTATGACAGCTGTCTGTAAATAATTGAGTTTGGACCAGACAATCCAGTGACTGACATCATGAGCATCGATCCACACAATTGGGATATGATGACATCCATCAACAAAGTCAGCAAGCCAGACCACCCGACCCCGCCGCTTCGGACCGCCTCTTTCCACAAGCATAGTTGCCGTTACGGCAAGCATGGGTTGCTAAAGACCTATTCTGACCCGGATCTTCACATGTCCGGTGTAAGTAGACACCTTGCGACACCAAGTCACAGTGTTTGACCAGCCAGTCCAATTACTCGGCGTTTACAACCAGCATGGGTTGCTAGGGACCAATTATAACCTGAAACCCCACAGGGCATTACATACTGACCAGAACCATAAAACATATCATGAATATATGTAGCAAACCATTATTTCAAAAAGCATCTCAAGTTTCAAAACTGCACTGAAAAATTGAAAATTGAAAAATATGTAATCAACTTCAACCCATAAACATTATATAAAATGATAGTACAGGAGGAATGAGAGCATGAATGATCAGATGAACCCGCTGTGAAATCCAGGGATACTGTTGCAATGTGTTCAAGTCATTGGATCATACATTACTGCACATACCGAATGCTCTGATGAGTAAATGTCGTACAAAATATCGATATGGATGTTGGAAACATCAAACATGACCAATCTTATGCATGAAGCATATCTAAAATATAAATATTGAACTTGAGAAAGATGTTGAAAAGTCATCTTGACAATTATGACCACTGAAAATCAATTTCTGACTTATCTTTTTCTTTCAAAGAGAGCAACATTTCTTTAATTTGTATTCAACTCTGGGCACTAGGAACCAAAAGCTGCCTCTATCAACCCATCCCATCTAGAAGTAATTCACATCATAACCTATGTCATGAACAATTGTACTTTGACATTATGAATTAGTTTTGCAGGTCACTTTATGATCTCAAAATTTGTATTTTTTTGAGCTGACTGAAAGTTGAAAATGATGACATTCCATTATCTCAAATATTGTTAAAACCAAAATACCATACAAAAACATATGTACAGAGTTGCATTTCCATCTCACTGCACCACCTACTATATCTGTATGTTCAGACAGGGATCTCCATCTCACCACCTACTATGTCTGTAGGTACAGACAGGGATCTCTATCTCACCACCTACTATATCTGTATGTTCAGACAGGGATCTATATCTCACTGCACCACCTACTATATCTGTATGTACAGACAGGGATCTCTATCTCACTGCACCACCCACTATATCTGTATGTACAGACAGGGATCTCTATCTCACCACCTACTATATCTGTATGTACAGACAGGGATCTCTATCTCACCACCTACTATATCTGTATGTACAGACAGGGATCTCTATCTCACTGCACCACCTACTATATCTATATGTACAGACAGGGATCTCTATCTCACTGCACCACCACCTATATCTGTAGGTACAGACAGGGATCTCTATCTCACTGCACCACCTACTATGTCTGTAGGTACAGACATGGACCTCTATCTCACTGCACCACCTACTATATCTGTAGGTACAGACATGGACCTCTATCTCACTGCACCACCTACTATGTCTGTATGTACAGACATGGACCTCTATCTCACTGCACCACCTACTATGTCTGTATGTACAGACATGGATCTCTATCTGACTGCACCACCTACTATGTCTGTATGTACAGACATGGATCTCTATCTGACTGCACCACCTACTATGTATGTACAGACAGGGATCTCTATCTCACTGCACCACCTACTATGTATGTACAGACAGGGATCTCTATCTCACTGCACCATCCACTATATCTGTATGTACAGACAGGGATCTCCATCTCCCACCTACTATATCTGTATGTACAGACAGGGATCTCTATCTCATTGCACCACCTACTATGTCTGTAGGTACAGACAGGGATCTCCATCTCACCACCTACTATGTCTGTAGGTACAGACAGGGATCTCCATCTCACCACCTACTATGTCTGTATGTACAGACAGGAATCTCTATCTCACCACCTACTATGTCTGTATGTACAGACAGGGCTCTCTATCTCACTGCACCACCTACTATGTCTGTATGTACAGACAGGAATCTCTATCTCACCACCTACTATGTCTGTATGTACAGACAGGAATCTCTATCTCACCACCTACTATGTCTGTATGTACAGACAGGGATCTCTATCTCATTGCACCACCTACTATGTCTGTATGTACAGACAGGAATCTCTATCTCACCACCTACTATGTCTGTATGTACAGACAGGAATCTCTATCTCACTGCACCACCTACTATGTCTGTATGTACAGACAGGGATCTCCATCTCACCACCTACTATGTCTGTATGTACAGACAGGGATCTCCATCTCACCACCTACTATGTATGTATGTACAGACAGGGATCTCCATCTCACCACCTACTATGTCTGTATGTACAGACAGGGATCTCTTTCTCACTGCACCACCTCCTATGTCTGTATGTTCAGACAGGGATCTCCATCTCACTGCACCCCCTACTATGTCTGTATGTACAGACAGGGACCTCCATCTCCCACCTACTATATCTGTATGTACAGACAGGGATCTCTATCTCACTGCACCACCTACTATGTCTGTAGGTACAGACAGGGATCTCCATCTCACTGCACCACCTACTATGTCTGTAGGTACAGACAGGGACCTCCATCTCACTGCACCCCCTACTATGTCTGTATGTACAGACAGGGATCTCTATCTCACTGCACCCCCTACTATGTCTGAATGTACAGACAGGGACCTCCATCTCCCACCTACTTTATCTGTATGTACAGACAGGGATCTCTATCTCACTGCACCACCTACTATGTCAATAGGTACAGACAGGGATCTCCATCTCACTGCACCACCTACTATGTCTGTAGGTACAGACAGGGACCTCCATCTCACTGCACCCCCTACTATGTCTGTATGTACAGACAGGGACCTCCATCTCCCACCTACTATATCTGTATGTACAGACAGGGATCTCTATCTCACTGCACCACCTGCTATGTCTGTAGGTACAGACAGGGACCTCCATCTCACTGCACCCCCTACTATGTCTGTATGTACAGACAGGGACCTCCATCTCCCACCTACTATATCTGTATGTACAGACAGGGATCTCTATCTCACTGCACCACCTGCTATGTCTGTAGGTACAGACAGGGATCTCCATCTCACTGCACCCCCTACTATGTCTGTATGTACAGACAGGGATCTCTATCTCACTGCACCCCCTACTATGTCTGAATGTACAGACAGGGACCTCCATCTCCCACCTACTATATCTGTATGTACAGACAGGGATCTCTATCTCACTGCACCACCTACTATGTCAATAGGTACAGACAGGGATCTCCATCTCACTGCACCACCTGCTATGTCTGTAGGTACAGACAGGGACCTCCATCTCACTGCACCCCCTACTATGTCTGTATGTACAGACAGGGACCTCCATCTCCCACCTACTATATCTGTATGTACAGACAGGGATCTCTATCTCACTGCACCACCTGCTATGTCTGTAGGTACAGACAGGGATCTCCATCTCACTGCACCACCTACTATGTCTGTAGGTACAGACAGGGATCTCCATCTCACTGCACCACCTACTATGTCTGTAGGTACAGACAGGGATCTCTATCTCACTGCACCACCTACTATGTCTGTAGGTACAGACAGGGATCTCTATCTCACTGCACCACCTACTATGTCTGTAGGTACAGACAGGGATCTCTATCTCACTGCACCACTTATTAAGTCTGTAGGTACAGACAGGGATCTCCATCTCACTGCACCACCTACTATGTATGTAGGTACAGACAGGGATCTCTATCTCACTGCACCACCTACTATGTCTGTTGGTACAGACAGGGATCTCTATCTCACTGCACCACCTACTATATCTGTATGTACAGACATGGACCTCTATCTCACTGCACCACCTACTATATCTGTATGTACAGACAGGGACCTCTATCTCACTGCACCACCTACTATGTCTGTATGTACAGACATGGATCTCTATCTGACTGCACCACCTACTATGTCTGTATGTACAGACAGGGATCTATATCTCACCACCTACTATGTCTGTATGTACAGACATGGATCTCCATCTCACCACCTACTATGTCTGTATGTACAGACAGGGACCTCCATCTCCAACCTACTATGTCTGTATGTTCAGACAGGGATCTCTATCTCACCACCTACTATGTCTGAATGTACGGATAGGGACCTCCATCTCCCACCTACTATATCTGTATGTACAGACAGGGATCTCTATCTCACTGCACCACCTACTATGTCTGTATGTTCAGACAGGGATCTCCATCTCACCACCTACTATGTCTGTATGTACAGACAGGGATCTCCATCTCACCACCTACTATGTCTGTAGGTACAGACATGGATCTCTATCTCACTGCACCACCTACTATGTCTGTATGTTCAGACAGGGATCTCCATCTCACCACCTACTAGTCTGTATGTTCAGACAGGGATCTCCATCTCACCACCTACTATGTCTGTATCTATAGACAGGGATCTCCATCTCACTGCAGCACCTACTATGTCTGTATGTACAGACAGGGTTTCTATCTCACTGCACCACCTACTATGTCTGTATGTACAGACAGGGATCTCTATCTCACTGCACCACCTACTATGTCTGTATGTACAGACAGGGATTTCTATCTCACTGCACCACCTACTATGTCTGTATGTACAGACAGGGATCTCTATCTCACTGCACCACCTACTATGTCTGTATGTACAGACAGGGATCTCTATCTCACAACCTACTATATCTGTATGTACAGACATGGATCTCTATCTCACTGCACCACCTACTATGTCTGTATGTACAGATAGGGACCTCCATCTCCCACCTACTATATCTGTATGTACAGACAGGGATTTCTATCTCACTGCACCACCTACTACCGTATTTTCTTGAGTATAGTGCGCACCCATGTATAATGCGCACCCCCCTCTCGCGGGTTCAATATTTTGGAAAAAAAGAAATATTAATATTATGCGCAGAAAAAATTTACACCGTACCCTTTCAGCAAAGTCCGGCAAACGAACGGGTGCTGAGAAACTTCGTCAGTACAAATTCGAAATTTGAGATAAAAATCACCAGACATGTTTATTTACTGTTTAAATAGTATTTATTGTTCTGCTAGGCATTGTTTTATATCTAGGGATTAAGATTACCTTGTGTATTTTCTCGTAAACTAAGTCGGAAGCAGCAATCAGCTGTACACATGTTTTCTTGGAATCGACCGGTGATTCGGTCAAGACACACCCAATGATATAACTTCATAGGATTTTTAATGCAAGGATCGGCAACAATTGTATCTGAAACTATTTTTTTTATCAGGAATAATATATTCCATTATTTTCTTAATTATATGCAGCCTTTACTAAACATATTTAAAATAATAATAACCCTAAGCGAAGCAGCTGATCGCTATTGCCGGGTATTATTTTTTACATGGAACCAGTCTGACCAGTCACCGTCAAGGCTCACGCGCACGTGATCGCGAGAATTTCATGTTGACATAGAATCGTCAAACAAAAACAAATATGACTTTTAACGAGTCAAAGTATGTCATTTATGATATATGTATGCATTCTCTGTCAACAAAAGTTCGTTTCAAGGCGTCAATAGCGGTATTCTGACAGTGAGTTGTTCGATCTTCCGATCGCTTCACACACGATTTCGACGAAATTAATAAAAACAATATTATAAGGAATTTTGAATAAAATTAATGAAATAAGTTACAAACATAAGTCCAGATATACAAAGAACACTTTTTATAGCCAGACAGTGTAATTACATGATGATTTTGCGTACTTCAGTATGGATTTGTTGACATGGTATTTCTGGTGTTTCGTGCTCACGGTAATGTCTTTCCATGGGGGAAAAAAACATCCAAACTCATAATTCGTGTATAATGCGCACCCCCTTCTACACAGCTGTGTTTTTTCGAAAAAAAGGGCGCACTATACTCAAGAAAATACGGTATGTCTGTATGTACAGACAGGGATCTCGATCTCACTGCACCATCTACTATGTCTGTATGTACAGACAGGGATTTCTATCTCACTGCACCACCTACTATGTCTGTATGTAGACGTCTATACTACTGATATATACAAATATACTATACTACTGATCACCAAAGCTCTTGTAAAAACTGTGTGAAAAATCTTGGGTGATCAAAACAAAACATTGTCATGAATAAAAAACAAACTAACAGAAAAAAAAGAAGAGAAAAACTGAAAAGGATAATATAGCTTGTGTGCATAATGTTTGAAAGTTTGTGTATCATGCTTAGTGAGCAAAGCAAACGTCTGCTTATTAGCCCTATCTTTAACCAGACATTACTGTTACTGTCAAGACACACTACTCTTATTTCAATATTCAAAATAGATTTTGAGCAAACAAGTGACAAATATCAGTCTTATCAGCAAAAATAATTTCAGAATAATAGTACGCTAAGAACATATAATCTTAGTAATTTGAAATTCTTGAAACCAGAAAACGTATGTCTTCATGACTTGTATTCCCAGTCTCAGAACAGAGCCACACTATATATTATTCTACTCAAAAGAAGTTAAAGAACATCCAGTTTTTCATATGACTAGTTAATCTGTGCAATCCATGTTTGTGCCTTAATTTCTTTTGAGCAGTATAGATGGTTTAACCAGGTTTTTTTTAACTAATTAGTTTGGGAAAGATGTGTAGGTTAAGGTACAAACAGAAATACATTTGTGTGGATAAATAGTTTCTATATTAATCAAAAAGATGTTATGGTCGGTAAATCATTTTGGGAAAAATTCTGGTTTGAGGTGAAATGAGGTGAAATTGGGTTTAATGTCGCGTCCAAGATTTTGCACTTATATAGCGTCGTGCATGTACGTGTGTGTGTGTGTGTGTGTGTGTGGCTGCTTGTACTTTTCCGGACTGATGCCGAATTATAGTACTAGCCCACTGAGATACCATGCCGCAGTTTAACATGAATACCCCACTCAGACACAGTATACTGACTTCGAGCCGACCAGTCCTTGTTTTAGCCCCTTAATGCCAAGGACCAGACAGGGTAAAATTCTGGTTTGAAAGTACAAAGGGTTTTAATATCATTAATATATCTACAGTAACATATACATGTACTTAGTTCTTCTAGAGAAAGCTTTGTTATTTCTGTAAGGAGTTTGCCATGGCCACAGAATATAACATTGCATTCAATACATTTCATTAATCACTTCAGAGATTAATAGTTACTCTTTGTTAGATTTTTGTAGGTGTATCATGTATTATTATTAACAAACCTCGCTATTAAAGATGTGTTGAAATGAAGCAGCGGAAATGAGGATGCAGTATCTAACATCCATGGCATGATGAGATGAAGACTGAGTTATGGTATTAGTAGAAGGAGTCCTATCTACTCAGGGACATCCACTTGACGAGGGACATAGCCGTGCACCTCATGATCACCAACACAAAACAACCTTAACTTCTGGACCTTATTAGGTAAATTAAGTACTTGTTTGTTCTGCTAAAAAACAGAACAGATCTGAAGAACAAATTTGAATTTTTATCCTTTTATATTAAACTGATGCTTACCTGAGAAGACGTTATACCAATTCTCTAAGGCTGTATTTTAAGAAACAATGTCAAATCATAAATGTATACTCAGGGTTCATCATGTTCATAGAGCATGGGTTTTCGCAACATAAAGTAGATGCCCTAAAAACCATGTAGAACATGTAGAAACATGAAGAATCATGTTTCTGTTTCCAGGAGTTGTGTTAATTTTGTTTAATATAAAATATATATGACACTTTGCATGGCAACTGTGAAAAACAGAACCTACAGGATACAATAGGGGATAACCAAAATAGAAAACTTCTATATCAATTTCAAAGAAACGTCACGCTGTATTAGTCAATGTGCCACAAAAACTCCACTACAAAGAAGGAAACATCTAGTGTCCAGAAGTTAAAGTAACAATGTGCATTGTCAGGCAAAGAATGGCCTCCACCTCCGCACATAGAGGCCACTACCAGCTAGCAAGGACGATGGTCTATCGACCAGCAGCCGGGGTCTGGACCGTGCGGGATGAGAGACAATGATGCCATACTATACCTTTAGAACCTAGGAGCTCCTCCAAAATTGCACAAGTATCCTGTGGCCCTCCTTGCCGTTTCAACACCTCCGCATAACTCTCCACCCCTAGCACCGGCTGGTGCTGAGCCTCGGGCTTACCTGTTGGTGCGCCCCCTGCTGCCTGGTCGGGGGGGCGTCTCACCGTGGACGCATACGTGGCACCAGGGTGTGCCAGTGGCCGGTCATGTGACGGGGCCTCAGACGGATGGGAGTCACATGGTTGACCATCAAGTCTGTTGTTTGGGGAGATATAGTGACCGTTAGTCATAGGAATCAGTTTGGATTTCATTTCAAATATACATAGTCTGATCAATCGATCAGTCATTTACAAAAGTAACAAATATTGAGGGCAAACTTGGCTTTGAGACCCTACAGGGTTTGTCTGTTATATCCCGAAAATCATCATGATCATCTAAAAACAAATTTTCTCTAAAATGTAACACAACTGTTGAATACTGGTTCATTATTGCATTTGCCTATGTACATTTGACAATATACAGGTTCACTGATCGTGTTAATTTTTTTCCACATATTTTTTAATAATATCAGTATGGTAGGAATGGTAGGCTGCTGCAATGGTTTACTTCAATGTAAATGGTTGATCTGGTTGGTTGGAAGCTATTATCAACCAGTGAAAACATTCAGGCATCAAAACACTTTACAGAGCTAAGCTGCAGTTATTAAATTACCTGCCTGGATAACTTAATATCCACTTTCAAAAATAAGTGAGGAAGCATTTCATTCTTTGTGACACAAACCACATGAGATAGCAGGGAAAGAAAAATGTCAGTGATGGCCAGTAGTTATCACGGCTCATGTAGTAATAGTGACTGAATGTTGTTTTATGCCAGTCAGCAGTATTCCAGCTAAACCACAGAGGCATCAGCAACAATCAAAGCAGTAGGATACAATGACACACTTACCCAGGTCAGACTGTCACACACTGAAAGCACTGGGTCATTAATCAGTATCTGTGGTACATGCCCTGGTGTGAACCTGTGCTGCAGATATATGACCTAGTGTGCACCTGTGTCAGACATTCTGCCCTAGCATGAACCAGTGCTGCAGATATATGACCTAGCATGTACCATATTTTCTTGAGTATAGTGTGCACTTTTTTCCCCAGCTGTGTAGAAGGGGGTGTTTATTATACACACAATAATGAGTTTTGATGGTTTTTTTCCTCCAACGGAAAGACATTACCGTGAGTACATAACACCGGAAATACCATGTCAACAAATCCATACTGAAGTACGCAAATTAATCGTGTAATTACACAGTCTAGCTATAAAAAGTGTTCTTTGTATATCTGGACTTATATTTGTAACTTATTTCATATATTTTATTAAAATTCCTTTTTATATTGTTTTAATTAATTTCGGCGAAATCGTGTGTGAAGCGATCAGAAGATCGCACAACTCACCGTTATTAACAGCAACCACGGTCACATTACCGCTATTGACGCCTTGAAACGAACTTTAGTTGACAGAGAATGGCTACATATATCATAAATGCCTTACTTTGACTAGTTAAAAGTCATATTTGTTATAGTTTGACAATTCTATGTCAACACATAGTTCTCGCGATCACGTGCGCGGGAGCCTCGACAGTGACTGGTCAAACTGGTCCCATGTGAAAAATAATAACCGGCAATAGCGATCAGCTGCTTCGCTTAAGGTTATAATTATTTTACATATATTTAGTAAAAGCTGCAACAAGATATTGGAATATATTATTCCTGATAAAAAAATAGTTTCAGACACAATTTTTGCCAATCTTTGCATTAAAATTCTGTAAAATTATATCATTGGGTGTGTCTTGACTGAATCACCGGTAGATTCCAAGAAAACGTGTGTACAGCTGATTGCTGTTTCTGGATTAGTTTACGAGAAAATACACAAGGTAATCTTAATCCATGGATGTAACACAATGCCTAGCAGAACAAAAAAATGGGTTTTTCAGATTAAAAACGATGTTTTATTGGTCTGTTTTCAGTCGTACAATTGGGTATCTCATACCTCTAGTCGCGACTAGAGGTATGAGATACCCAATTGTACGACTGAAAACAGACTAAAACATGGGTTTTTCAGATTAAAAACGATGTTTTATTGGTCTGTTTTCAGTCGTACAATTGGGTATCTCATACCTCTAGTCGCGACTAGATGTATGAGATACCCAATTGTACGACTGAAAACAGACTAAAACATACAATTTAAACGGTAAATCAACATGTCTGGTGATTTTTTAACTCTAATTTCAAATTTGTACTGACGAAGTTTCTCATGACCCGTCCGTTACTGTGTAGTTTTTTTCTGCGCACTATACTCAAGAAAATACGTTACCTATGTCAGACATTCTGCCCTAGCATGTATCTGTGCTGCAGATATAGGACCTAGCGTGGACCTGTGCCAGACATTCTGCCCTAGCATGTACCTATGCTGCAGATATAGGACCTAGTGTGTACCTGTGTCAGACATTCTGCCCTTGCATGTATCTGTGCTGCAGATATATGACCTAGCGTGTACCTGTGTCAGACATTCTGCCCTAGCATGTACCTGTGCTGCAGATATATGACCTAGTGTGTACCTGTGTCAGACATTCTGCCCTTGCATGTATCTGTGCTGCAGATATATGACCTAGCGTGTACCTGTGTCAGACATTCTGCCCTTGCATGTATCTGAGCTGCAGATACATGACCTAGTGTGTACCTGTGTCAGACATTCTGCCCTAGCATGTACCTGTGCTGCAGATATATGACCTAGTGTGTACCTGTGTCACACATTCTGCCCTAGCATGTATCTGTGCTGCAGACATCAAACTATAGTTATTATTGTTAATAATTCAAAGAATACTACCTCTCATACATCATTGCCTGAAATGCAGTATTTCGGCAGTCATCACATCATAAAATCTTTTAGAGTTCCAACAGAAATCCTCTTCACTGTCAACTATCCCGAACAACCGAAATACAGATTTCTGGCAATGATGTAACAGAGGATTTGTATGTATAAGAACTAAATGCCATATAGTGTACCTGTGTTGCCTGACCAGAGTGCACTCTCCGCCCTCATTAGGATCAATGTTGTATATGTACAAAATGCCATCTTGTGAGGCCACCAACATCCGTAGAATCTTGTGAATTCTGAAACACAGACATACATAGACATAAACTAGTAGTCGTACACTGATGTATCAATGAAAGGAGTCATCATTAAATAGGCCTCTTACTATCATGAACACTGATGTATCAAATGAAAGGAGTCATCATTAAATAGGTCTCTTACTATCTTGAATACTGATGTATCAATGAAAGCAGTCATCATTAAATAGGTCTCTTACTATCATGAACACTGATGTATCAATGAAAGCAGTCATCATTAAATAGGTCTCTTACTATCATGAACACTGATGTATCAATGAAAGCAGTCATCATTAAATAGGTCTCTTACTATCATGAACACTGATGTATCAATGAAAGCAGTCATCATTAAATAGGTCTCTTACTATCATGAACACTGATGTATCAATGAAAGGAGTCATCATTAAATAGGTCTCTTACTATCATGAACACTGATGTATCAATGAAAGCAGTCATCATTAAATAAGTCTCTTACTATCATGAACACTGATGTATCAATGAAAGCAGTCATCATTAAATAGGTCTCTTACTATCATGAACACTGATGTATCAATGAAAGCAGTCATCATTAAATAGGTCTCTTACTATCATGAACACTGATGTATCAATGAAAGCAGTCATCATTAAATAAGTCTCTTACTATCATGAACACTGATGTATCAATGAAAGGAGTCATCATTAAATAGGTCTCTTACTATCATGAATACTGATGTATCAAATGAAAGCAGTCATCATTAAATAGGTCTCTTACTATCATGAACACTGATGTATCAAATGAAAGCAGTCATCATTAAATAGGTCTCTTACTATCATGAACACTGATGTATCAATGAAAGCAGTCATCATTAAATAGGTCTCTTACTATCATGAACACTGATGTATCAATGAAAGCAGTCATCATTAAATAGGTCTCTTACTATCATGAACACTGATGTATCAATGAAAGCAGTCATCATTAAATAGGTCTCTTACTATCATGAACACTGATGTATCAATGAAAGCAGTCATCATTAAATAGGTCTCTTACTATCATGAACACTGATGTATCAATGAAAGGAGTCATCATTAAATAAGTCTCTTACTATCATGAACACTGATGTATCAATGAAAGCAGTCATCATTAAATAAGTCTCTTACTATCATGAACACTGATGTATCAAATGAAAGGAGTCATCATTAAATAGGTCTCTTACTATCTTGAATACTGATGTATCAATGAAAGCAGTCATCATTAAATAAGTCTCTTACTATCATGAACACTGATGTATCAATGAAAGCAGTCATCATTAAATAAGTCTCTTACTATCATGAACACTGATGTATCAATGAAAGCAGTCATCATTAAATAAGTCTCTTACTATCATGAACACTGATGTATCAATGAAAGCAGTCATCATTAAATAGGTCTCTTACTATCATGAACACTGATGTATCAATGAAAGGAGTCATCATTAAATAGGTATCTTACTATCATGAACACTGATGTATCAATGAAAGCAGTCATCATTAAATAAGTCTCTTACTATCATGAACACTGATGTATCAATGAAAGGAGTCATCATTAAATAAGTCTCTTACTATCATGAACACTGATGTATCAATGAAAGGAGTCATCATTAAATAAGTCTCTTACTATCATGAACACTGATGTATCAATGAAAGCAGTCATCATTAAATAGGTCTCTTACTATCATGAACACTGATGTATCAATGAAAGGAGTCATCATTAAATAAGTCTCTTACTATCATGAACACTGATGTATCAATGAAAGGAGTCATCATTAAATAAGTCTCTTACTATCATGAACACTGATGTATCAATGAAAGCAGTCATCATTAAATAGGTCTCTTACTATCATGAACACTGATGTATCAATGAAAGCAGTCATCATTAAATAGGTCTCTTACTATCATGAACACTGATGTATCAATGAAAGCAGTCATCATTAAATAGGTCTCTTACTATCATGAACACTGATGTATCAATGAAAGCAGTCATCATTAAATAGGTCTCTTACTATCATGAACACTGATGTATCAATGAAAGCAGTCATCATTAAATAGGTCTCTTACTATCTTGAATACTGATGTATCAATGAAAGCAGTCATCATTAAATAAGTCTCTTACTATCATTAGGCAAGGCTGCAAAATGGCCCGTGTCTTAACTGTCAATGACCATACAAAATTGTACATGTCACAACTGCCAAAAACTGTTTCATCTCAAGAGATCAGAATTCCTAATGTTTTTCTTCAATCATAACCAGTGTTCGAAATACCGGTAAGTGCCTACCCTTAGGCCTGTAGCTGGTAGATTTTGTGTCGGGCCTTTAGTTTCAAATTTTTATGGGTCTTTATTGCCAGCCATAAATGTATGTGTCAATTTATTTGTCACAATATGCTGCAGTTTTTTAAATGAGGGCCTGTAGAGTTTAGTCAGGGCTCATGGCATCTACAGTCAGTGAGTTCTGACCACAGCATGGCAGTTATTTTTTTTCAAACATTGATTATAACTCAAATATTCAAGCATCAAGATTTGTTCCCAGCTAACATTCACTTATAGTACAACAGGATCACTAAGCTTTGACAGATGGAAATCAGGTATCCTGGTTGTCCATCCTGGTTATCTATCATAGTAAATTTCAACTCACACAGAGAGGGCGCAGACATTCTTAAGGCCAGACGTGTGCAGCCGGGCTGTGGCAAATGATCGACCCTGATTCAACATGTCGGAAACTTGTGTCGGTAGGTAGTTTGCTGATGTCTTCAGAGCCTGGCCAAAATATCCCATCCAACCCTGTGGCTCCTCCGGGGGTCTACAACAACCAGTCAAGTCACCACAATCGTATACAATGACACAGGAATCTGAACTTGGTGTGCACAGGACACTTATTCCATTTTATAGTGAAACCTGAAAGTATGGAGTGAAGAAGCCAGGCTTCCGGGAGATTACAGTTCAAAACATCTGAATACAGTGTTCCCTCACTATTGCGCTCTTCAATATAGCGCTAACTCTCTCATAGCACGCAGTAAAGCAGGACTCCCAAAGTTACTAACATTTTTAATAAACTCAAGATTTCCAATGACACGATGTTTTCCCCCCATCTCAGAAAACATTATCAGCGGAAATACCTGTGAACAAATCCGAACTGAAGTACGCAATTTCATCCTATTATCATAATATTTTTGGTTATAAAAAATTGTTCATTGTTTATCTGAACTAATGTTTGCAATATATTTTATTAAATTTATTCAAAATTTCATTGGGCGCTTTTTAACTGAATCACTGGTAGATTGGGAGGTAACGTGTGCACAGCTGATTGCTATTTCCTGCTTAGTTTACGAGACAATACACACGGTAATCTTAATCTCTGCATATAAAACAATGCCTTGGAGAGCAGGAAATACATTCTAAATGGTAAATCATCATGTCTAGTGATGTTTAATATCAAATTTCATACTTTTATTGACCAAGTTTGTTATGTCTATTTATTCACCTGAATTTGCTGAAGGGATACAATGTGTTTTCTTGAAAGCGCATATAAATACTCGATAAATCTTTTATTTCACTATGAATCATAAACAACTTCTATTCTAATAAAAAAAACTAAACTCTGAAAGGTGCTATGTAGATCGTGTTAGGTAGGCAGAGCATGTATACTGTTTTGTTGGTCATCTGACTTGACCTGCGTTAAACCGCTGATCATCTATAACGCTCATCAATTATTTGGCCCCCGAAGGTAGCGTTGTAGCGAGGGATCACTGTACTTACAACTAGGCACACACTGGTAGTCCTAACAATTTGACAGGGATGACCAAACAACACTACTAACATGGTTTCAATGCATAAAAACATGGCATGAATGAATTGATCTAATCAAGGTTATAAAAATAACTTTCATTTCCAGCGGTCAGTTCAAGGAGTAACATCAGTTCTGCAAAGCTGACAATATCAAATGCATACACTTATTTAAATACAAAACAAACATTGAAGCATCAGAACACAGTCTTGGTATATGTTTAAAGTAGCCATAGAAATGTTCAAATACAAATTATATAGTCAAAAGAAAGCATATTTTTCAAAATGCAGGCTGACAAGGACCATGAGCAGTTTTGTAATTTCTTAAGGATATATGGGCAAAATTGCCCAGTCAGCAAAACTAAGAAGAATTTTCAAGAATCTTAAGACAGAAGATATTTCGCGTGGAGAGTGACGTCGGGAAAATATCCTCTTTTTCCCCGTCACAAGATGAGAGAAACATGATATTTCACTAGACACATGGAATATCCTACTTATTATATACTATTTGTGTAGTTGCTACCAGAAAATCTAGTTATTTCATTTCAAATGTAAAACCTTGAAACATTAAATTCTCCCTACCTAACACGCCATCCCTTGTATTTGTGACTAAAACAATAGTTTCGTGTTTGCAAAATCTTAAAAAATATAAACAAAAGTATTCAGGGCCAGGAAAATTCTGTACCATACATATAGAAATGATTACATACAAAATCATCTCAAATAATAAAAAATATTCTTGAAAACTATGAGACCGCCGTTAGGAGCAAAAGAATAACAAGTAACAAAAAAGGGCTCTTTGCGAAAAGATCAGTCTCCATTGACAAGTTAAATGAGAAATTTACAGTTTATAACATTTTCAATAGAATAACAAACGGCATGAAGCTATATTAACTCCACAAATGATAACCTGTCATTATTTTGCCTTATCAATGTGGAACCAACATAAGAAGGAAGTCAACAGTTTATGAAAAATGGAGACAATTTGAGGGGAGGCCACTCTTGTATGACAACAGTTCCTTCAAAGTGTTATGTTCACTGCAATGAAAATATGACTTTTCTCAGTCTTTCACATAGAAGTATATAAGAAATGCTTGTAGGCTTGAACAGAGCTTATCACCACTATACACGATGATTTCTAGTATGTCACCCTCTGTGATTGTAAAGACTTCCACACATTTGCCTAATATTGCCCCAAACCAGAGTAACATTGCGTGAAAGCCCCTAAGAACCTACTTGTCCTTCATGATCTCCAGCTTGAAGATGTGAACTGTCTCTGTGTTGCTGGAGGCACACAGGTACAGCCCACAGGTGCTGAATCCCAGCGAGTTGATGCTCACACACCTGCAACACGCAAAGTACTCCAACACATGTCCCAGACCCCATTCCACAAAGCATTCTTAGAGTCAAGATGATTGTGAATCTATGTCAAAGAATAGAAGTTACAGTGGTCTTAACGCTAACATCTCTTTCTATAACAGGGCCCTGGTCAAACTCACAGTCAGTGAATATTGTTTTAAACTGAAGTCAGCAATATTCCCGCTATATGACAGCGACCCGCATCAACACCAGTGGCAGTTGATATCATTCCTGATTCACTGTAGGCATACTGACTTATAATCAGCCAGGGACCCGCTCCAATCTTAGGACTACTGTCATAACTCTATGCTAAAGTATGGGAGTTACTGTAAGAACCTGATCAAGCATGGTGTACTCGAGATATATTCTGCCACACGGGGTCCATGCTAGAACAAGTAGTTTGTCTATCACATTGTCACAGAAAGGACAAAAATTTCTTTTAAGACAGAGTTATTTCCCTTTGTATGCGGACGGCTCTCAGAATGCCCGACCCAAATCTATTATTTGTTCATAAGATTTATTAAAAACAATCTGAGTTAGTTTTATAGTTATGACATATTTCAATTGTTATTGTCACACAATTATTTTTGATTAAACTGAAGGACATATTTACAGACCTTTTCACCCCTCTCCTAAACTCAAAGATTTTCTGGCCATCTGGTATGGAGAAGACCCGAATCACTGTACCCTGGACAAAAATGAAAAGACATTTTATTGCACAAATAAGACATACATATTAACTTCATGAGCAATCTTCACACGACAAATACAGCGACATAAAAGCCAGTCCTATGAAGGAAATTCAGAAAGGACCAATGACATTTCCTTTTGAAGAAGATTGAAACTCTGTAGCAGATCAGGACTAGTAAAAATAAACATTAATTTCTACCCCTGCAGAGGCTTTTCGTTATTGAATACTTTCCAACTATTTTCAAATATTTCCACCGGAACTAGACCGAACTTGTAGTTTGCTTTTGTTTCTTCATTAATCATTTTCAAATCGTATCATCTAATGATTCTAAGTGTCACAGTTTATCACTTGTAATAAACCAACCTTTTCTGAGGCTGTAGCCAATCTGTCTCCCTTTGCACTGAAAGCTAGGGCTGCCAAGGGGTTGTCATGAGCTGGGATCATGGTCACTGCCCGCTGCCAAAACAAGGAGTTTGGTGAGTGAGTGTTGTTCAATGCTGCAGGCAACCATATTCAAGTCATATCATAACAACCTGTGAATAATATTTGTTGTTAAATGCTGCACTCATCAATATTCCATATATATGATTGCGGTCTGTAATTGTAAATAAAATCAAAGTCTGGACCAGACAATCCAGTGATTGACATCATGAACATCGACCTATGCAACTGAGATATGTTAACACACATCAACCAAGTCAGGGAGTCTGTGCACCCGATTCCGTTAGCTGCCTCTTACAACAATCATGGGTTGCTGAAGTGTGAATAATTGAACCAGTGGACAAAAGCATGAGCAACAATCCATGACATAGGGTCATCATGACAAAGGCAGCCAGGCCGCACTTGTAACCACCAATTAGTCAGTCAGACATGGGAGACAGGCATGGAGTACAGGGGACCTATTCTGTTCTGAAATTGAAGGTTTTCAGTGCTGCCTATTTGCACACTCTGAAAGATGACGCAACTACTTCAGCATTGTTCAGTAATGCCTGGTATCTCTTTCATATGCAGTCAAACACAGAACAAAGACAGGGAAGTTACTAAAAGGTGATCCATGTGCTGTTGTGTTATCTGAAATGGAAATTACTTACGTTTTTTACAACTGTTTCAGAGACAAGTTCCTATGTAATGAACTTTATGTTTAGCTATCAACATAACCTAGCATCAGTGGTACTAGCCCTGGCCTACACATGTTACAAGAGTGAAGTTGAAGTCATATGTCGCTTTTCACAAAATGTCAGAAACATAACAATGTTCGACTCTCGGAATTTGTTTCATATATGTGGGGAATCAAATTCTCAACTTAATTGTTATAAGCAAAGATTTAACTTCATTCCACTACACCAGAATTACATTAAAAAATGATGTTTTGATAATTATTCAATTTTTGTTTCCTATTTCATAGTTTGACCTCCAGTGATTTTGACCACTAACGGAGGTGACCCAAGAGTTGATGAGATTGAGACGCCACCTGAGACATGTTAGAGATCATGTATACTTTGTTTCAACAAAGTCCATTTATAAATACTCAAGTTATCGTGTACACTAGCATTTCTGACACCTAGTTTATACTGAGTGAACATAATTATCATCCAGGGAAAAAAACATAATACAGAATCTGCAGAGAAAATTGATTAACTTCATCATTAACAAAAGACGTTGTCAGCTTATTAATGATGACAATGACATATCACATGATCCCAACATAAACATAGTACATTGTATCCTTTGCTTGCCCTCATTATAATAATGGCTACATTGCCACTTCTAATGCTGCAAGATTGCTTAACAAAGATTGCACATATATTCACTAGGGGTGTAACAATGCATGACACTGTCATGCATCAAATGGCAATATCAGTTAAAACCTCAATAATTATATCAATAACACATTAACATGGTTAATGTCACTGTTGCTCTACGCTGCTGATGGTATCAACAGATGCAATGTTAAAAAATACATCTATCGCATTCGACATAATAAGCGCCCAGGGCGTGCTCAAAGTTAGAAATGGGGGGCTTTTATTAGAATATTATTTGGTGAAAAACAACAGAGTTGAAAGATCGTAAATTTTGAGGTTTATGCTGACAGCCTGAAATGTTTATATACAGATATATTTTTTCCAGAATTTAATTTCCCATAATTAAGAATGTATATAACATATGTATTATACACGAATAAATAAGTCCTGTGTACATTGATCAATCAGAATAGCCAATATATTAGAAAATATCGCTGTGGGCGCTTATTACGTTGAATACGGTAATTTTCATTTTTTGATGCAAAACACATCTTGCTGGATGAGACACAGAGGCAGGACACTGTTAATATGTTATTGGTTTGTCATTATATTGAAATACACATGGAGACTTATGGAGACTGATGCTGTAGGACAGTACAGGCAATCTGGCATATATATATACAATTGATAGCCACCATGCCAACATTCTCAAAACAAATTCAGAAAAATGAAATCGCTGTGAATGCCCTCTTCACTTACCAAGTTGATCGTGTCGAATATCTGCACTTCCCCGATCTGGTTGCTTCCTGGGTAGGCGAGGAAACAGTTATCATTGCTGACAGCGAGGGCACAGAGTCCAATGGGGTTGGAAGGCGTGTCCCTTATGGTGTGGAGGACCTTCATGTCCCGGATGTTGTGTATATACAGGCTCTCTTCCAGGCATACTATTAATCTCTGTCACACAGGGGCACATCATTAGAGTTTGATAGCAATGAGAGTGTGTAGAAACATTATATAGGCAAAATATAATAAAGTTTGTTAGCTTGTGTCTTGTTTAAAGCTACATACAGCAATATTTCAGCTATATGATGGCAGCCTGTCTTGATCAGACAAACTAGTGATTGATATTATAAAAGACAAGTTAACTAGTGTGAGTGACACATTCATCAGTTCCCTTCCAATGTTTGCAGATACTTTATAAAGTTCATACAAGTGAGCGTGCATTATTATCTTTCTTTCTTTCTTTGTTGTTTAATGCTGCAATCTCAGCAATATTCCAGCTGTATGACGGTGGTGTGTAAATAATCGAGTCTCGACCAGACAATCTAGTGATTGACATCATGAGCATCGATCCACACAATTGGGATCGATAACATGCATCAACCAAGTCAGTGAGTCTTACCACCAAATCCTGTTAGTCACCTCTTATGACAAGCATAGTCGCTTTTTTCGGCTAGCATGGGCTGCCGAAGACCTATTGCATTGTTAGAATGAGAAACCAGTCAAGAAGGTAACCACTGTACCATACAGGGCCATGCAGGTTGCTGGTTTTGCTTTTAGTTTTAGCAACATTTCTGCAATATCATGCTGGGGCCCACCAGAAACTGGACCCATGTGGGGAATCAAACCCAGGCCTTCAGTGTGACAAGTGAACACTTTAACCATGTTAACCACATGACTACCCCACATCGTACCGGCACATACAAGCAGAGGGTGCTTGAGTTCCACTAGTTACACCAGGATCTGACATGTCTAACTCACTTGAATTGATCAGTACTTACCTGTCGGTTTAACTTGACTGCTAATATAGAGTTCGAGTAGCTGTAGTTGCAGATTTCCGTTCCTTTCTTGAAATGACATACTTTTAACTTCCGTGGTGATGATAGACTAACAATGGCAACCAGACTGCTTGAAAATAACCGTTCGACAATACAGATATCATCCGTATCTGGAACAAAAAAAATGGCAATTTGAACCAACCATCAGCATGATCAGCAAAAGAGCTGTTTAAGACAATGGCGAGCATTAGTGTTCAAAATGGACACAATCTGCGGATATGGGTGAATCTCTATGCCTGTAATCACTGACCTAGTCAACACGTTCATAACTTGTCTCAGGGTTAACCTGTTCAACATGCAGTGCAAGGACAGAAGCGTATTTTATTACTGTGCCACAGGGCACCCATGAAGATGTTAAGGCGTGCCATCTAGTCGCGTGCCAACAAGTATACATTTTTGTACTCAGTAAATGTCATTTCACCATGACCTAGATTACAAGCAGCTGAAATTTAGAAAAGTATTTTGCATTATCATTGAAAATATTCTGAATCCTGAGGTTTATTTTGTGAATCATACCATGCATATTATGCATTAATTGTTTTCATAGGTTTACAGAGCTAAAGATAAGCAGTGTCTTTGCGTAAAATACACCCCACCCCCCCCCCCCCTCCCCAAACACACATATTCAAAACCCAATTTACTTTCAAGTCATGCCTTTATTTTTTAACAGTTATAAACATGATATACATCTAAAATATTATTTCATTTTTTCAAAATCTTAAAATGTTTACTAATTTTGGGAAAGACCCAATAGAGTGATGAGTAGATGATTGAAAAAATATTGGTTGCCCAATGAAAAATGTAATAACCAAATTAACATGATCATGATTAAAATAGTAAAAACTCAATTGCTCAAAAAGTTATCTGGAGCTCTGGGTTTACTTTCATTGCATTGATGCCTTGAAATAGATAGACATTTGATGATTTCTAGGCTAAATGCGACCTGCAGGCACTGATAACTTATCATATTAATGCCATTACAATATTTAACTCTGCAATTTGCACACTAATACGGCATACAAGGAATTTCAAGCCCTGAAATGGTACCAACATTTGCCGATTCTCAACAAAATAACCATGATTACCCCCATATATAATCAGCTTAGTGTATCAGGGTAATATAGGAATTCTTATCACAAGCTGAAAAGTGCTTGAAGAATATATTATCACATCAACTAGTATTTGTATGGTATTGATAACAACAACTCTAGTTTTTCACCTACTCTATAATTTGAGATTACATAGTGCCTGGCTTGTTCAGCTGGTTCTCCTGGATCAAACTGTATTATAGTGTATAGTTTGACCTTTTTATGTAGTTGGTGTTGAACCTGGCTTTGCTCCTGTACTAATCTCCCAGTTTTAACATTAAACATATACTCCCTATGTCATTGTATGTAGGTCATACATAATCCATACAACATGTAAAAGACATTAACATTGACAGTTACTATGGGTTACCATGGTAACTATCTGTATGACAGCAATGACAATTAAATATTATGAACTGATATCCTGCCTCATCATTGCTCATCATCCTGCTGGTTTTTGTATTAACAATATTTTGGGGTAACATCCGCTGAGCATGCTGAGAGATCTATTGTACATGAGTGAGTGAGTGAGTGGGTGGGTGGGTGAGTGAGTGAGTGAGTGAGTGAGTGAGTGAGTGGGTGGGTGGGTGGGTGGGTGGGTGAGTGAGTGAGTGAGTGAGTGAGTGAGTGAGTGAGTGAGTGAGTGAGTGAGTGAGTGAGTGAGTGAGTGAGTGAGTGAGTGAGTGAGTGAGTGAGTGAGTGAGTGAGTGAGTGAGTGAGTGAGTGTGGCTTTGCACCACTTTAAGCAAAATTCCAGCAATATCACGGTGGGGAACACCAGAAATGGGCTTCCCACACTGTACCCATGTCGGGAATCGAACCCGAGTCTTCGGCATGACATGCTTTAACCACTAGGCTACCCCACCGCCCCTTGATTTTAAACAAAGTGCCCTTGGCAGGCAAATGGGAAAAAAAATTGGTTCACACTTGGGATTTTTTTAACATCAAAATTTAACATCACAACTTAACATTGCACTCAGAGCAATAATGTAATCTTAGCCTCATCCTCTTTTAGCTATCAGTGGCACACAAGTCCCCCCATCAACATGATCAAGCCACCACACTACAACTAGTACAAGTCTGAACCATATTTACAATGTTTACAGGAAACAGGACATTTTCCATTTTGGAATTTTTACTGAAAACTGCTGCAGGCTGAATATCAGGCCTCAGATCAGGTCTGGATAAATCCCTGTGTACCTCAACTATGTGTACAGGTGTAGGACTTAAGCATGGTCAGGCCCATGGCAGAGCTCTAATCAATGGCAGGATCTATAGCATGTGTGTCAATAGTCTTACAACATACTCGCTAAGTTAGCCCACTAGTCCGCATAATGATAACATGTAGCAAAACCCTTAAAAATGACAAATTTTTACTAGTCCTTAGGATAGCTTAACTATTGAGCAGTTTGGCAAGGACTACAGGACTAGCGCCCATTTCTAACACTGTCAACATGATCAATATCATTATTCCATACACAATACAGGAACATGTTCTTGACTTAATAGTTTAATGATTAGTGTTAATTGATATCACTCTATCATCACCATCACAGGGATATTCATTATGTTGCTAATGAACTACATGAAATTTGTTACCAATGGTTACACAAGCATTGTCACCTTCAACCAGAGTATTGATTGGAGAAGATACCATGGCCATGGTGTAATAATAATGTTGATATTTGTTAATCATCTGATCATGGTTTATTCCTAATGATGTAATTGTCATATATTATCAGAAACAAAATTTCTGAAAATGTCAAAGATGATTTATCATCCAAAACTGGCTCCCACAGGAGATATGGCTTGGGCATGTTGGGTGAGATCAAGTGATATCTACACTGTAGATATCGCTCCAATAAAATTGCATCACAATTCTTTGCAGAGCACTGTTACGTCATTGGTTACCATGACGTCACAATCAAATGACATCACTAATGGCCCTGCTACTGAAGCTATTAGCAGTACTTTTTACACTTAGACACTGTTTATTACTGTCTACAAACTGAAAAAGTTGGAAGAATGATTTTGGATGATAAATAAAATCTCACCCTCATCAACACTGGATATATTTGATATCAATAGACACTCAGGTGAGATTCTCTATTTGTTCGTCTTTGTTCGTCTTTGTTCATGGTGTTACCATGGTTACAACTGATCACAACAATATTTCCTTGTTGTCAGACAGTCCCATGAATCACTTGACCTGTTGACTAAGGCATGACTTTCACAGATATTTGGATCATAATCAAAATACTCACAATCAGTTCCTGTTAACATGGCAGTAGGTGCATGATGTGCGAACAACATAACAAAAGATAAAAATGATGTGACTTCTGATCCCCCAGCACTTTACATTAGTGACAATATCCTGTATTGTAAGCTTGTTGAAGTGACTGCGAAAGGGTCCTTGTCATAACCCTAGGCTAATGTTTAGAAATCAACCTTTTCGGAGAAACCCAATATCCTCTTACTTTCTAACAATGTAACATTCATACCTGACCAAGAGACAATTTTTTCCCCTTTTTTTAAATATTTTCAAATACAGGTGTTGCACAAATAGGAGCAGTACTAAATGATGTATACAAGGCATGTTTCAGGGTATAAGAATTACAACATAGTGCATATGAAACAAAATAGCAATAAATATATATCCAAGAGACATGCTGAACACATTGAACGAGGCCTGTGGCGGGTTTATAGGAGTCTAATGATATAGAGAACTATCAAACTGTCTCAACTATTTGCCCTATGATGGAACTATATATTGATAGGATTTAAAAAAGCCAATAGTATCGTCTACAGTATGCATAACAATCTATAGTTTCAATAGTTGCAATGACTTATAAACATGATAAATTAGACAAAAATGAAGCAAATTTCAAACCTGCCTGTGAGTTGGTTGGCAAGGATGAGGACAACTTAAGATTACAGTTACTTCCCTTTGCTTTGTGTAGCAACAGGGGAAAATTGCAGTGTTTGAGATTGTCTGCAATACTTCCATTACATTACTATTATCGCAATACTATTGCAAAAGTGTAGGCTACTATTGCCGTACGATCGCAATAGTGAAGATGGACCCAATCGTCACCCTGACTGGTTTAACAGTAGTGCTTATAGTTATAACACAGGCAAAGGTTGAACATTTAGGTCACTTTGGGGCACAGGGCCAAGTTGATGATCATGCAAAATATGAATGTTTTGATCATGTTGATGTTCTCTAATTTTTGTTGAGGCTGACTAAACACGTCACTTATGACTAATTTGTTTTCCTACTTGATTGTCACATATCAAAACAATGAAGACAACACATTCAGTGCATTACTTTGACCACTTAAAGGGTAGTAAGATGTTAAGAACCAAAATGTTAATAAGATGGGAAAATACTAAGATGATAAGATTAAGAGCAACCAAAACACATATTTGGTCACCATTAGCATGATCAGCACCATCTCTTTCGTTGCATGATTCTCGCCATCTTCTGCTACTATCATCATCATCATCATCATCATCATCATCATCATCATCATCACAGTCGTCTGCATAATGTTCTAACCACGTAATTTTAGGCTTATTTGAAAGAAATCAAACTGTATAAAAAGACATAGATTCTAAGTTGTGAATGTCAGTTTTTTTGTAAGTAGACTGTGATAATCGACTGGAGTTTTTGTGATCCTTTTCATCACTTTTATTCTATGTTCTTTTCTTTAGAAAAATGTAATCTTTTTTCCAGCTGTGAATAGCTGCAATTACTAATGATGTGACTTAAAGCAATATTTCCTCGCTCACTCACAACATACATTACTACAAGTAAGACAATAAAGAAGACAATGTTACCATTTCCATTACGGTGTTAAGATTGTGAGCTACAGTTAATGATAACTATGCCGTACTGAGGCTCACCATGCATAACTATCTATCTGAACATATTAAACAAAACAATTCTGCCTGAGAACAACACAACAATCAGCTAAACAACCATTCACCATGGTGGCCGTGAGAGACTGAGTTTGTGCTGCTTTGAGCAATATTCCAGCAATATCATGCCGGCTTCACACATTGTACCAATGTGGGGTATTGAACTCAAAACTCTGAATGATGAGAAAAATCTTGAAGAACGAGGATATTCCACTGCTCTTCATCATTGATGTTAGAATGAAAAACATGACAAAGTAAAGTTTGCCAGTAAATTATAGGTTACATAACGGGCATGAAGTGACGTAGGCATATCGGGTTCGTGTTCTTAAATTGCCATCTTCAGAATTTGATTTTCAGCTGCCATAATAACTTATACATACTAATATTCACCTCGCACTTGCAGACCGGGCATGGCACGTACAGCACCCGGCTAGCAAACAAGTATATGTTTTATATTTCCAGGTATCTCAAGCGCCTATGTCACAACAGTTCCAGTAATCCATAAACAATGTGTAGTTAGATTTGTTTTGTATACCATAAATTGTTTTGAAACTTTCACGTTCTGATGTTTTTCCTGAGTACTACTACCAGTCACAAGCTGTGACAGTCACCATGATCATGCAGGGTGATTACTGAATGTAGAGCTGGGTAAGTCAGAGCTCCGGATAACTTTTTTGAGAAATTGAGTTTTTACTCTAGTGTTTCTATCTTAATTGGGTTATTACATTCTTTATTGGGTAACCAATATTTTTTCACTCATCTATTCATCATGTTCATCACTCTATTCGGTTCTTCCAAAAATAAGTGAACATTTTAAGATTAAAAAAAGATGAAATAATGTTTTAGATGTATATAACTGTTCTAAATATATACTCTTGACTTGGAACGTAAATTAGCTCATAATTGTGTTTCGGAAATTAGCTCCTTTGTATGCATGCTTCATTGGGTATTTACGTGTGCTGTTCATAAACAATTGAGTTTTTCATTTAATGCATGCGTTTCTGGCGCAAGTTAATTGAAAGTAATTGGGTTTTGAATATTTTTGGGGGTTATTTTACGCAAATACACTGCTTATCTGTAGCTCTGTATGTACAGTACTAGAGACAAGAACAACAAAACCACCGAGGAATATATACAATAAATGCAAAAAGTTTACTCAAAAGGTAAAATCGATTAACAGGGTTTTGAACTTATTTTGACGTCTTTGACTTTTAGAAATACAATGACTACCTGAAAAATTGTTCATAGGTTATTAATATTGCTTCTTTGTATTTTTAGTTATGCTAAAGCTAGCCCTGTGTCTTTCTATCTTGACCACCTCAGAGATATCAACCATGAAACATTAATGAAATACCACAATGACAAAAGCCTTCCCCATGAGTCAAGGTAACCAAGACCAAAATACACCACTGCATACGCCTCATAGTCAAGATTCCATTAAGCAGGTTAAGTTCATTCCCCAACGCCTGAGTGAACATGACATATGGAGGATCTGACTGCCCTGGTCAGCCATGACTGGTCAGTGAGTGGGTCAACTGTGAAGCAAAGGGCCTGGAGGGCAGATCAAACAACTTCTCTATCCACCTTAACCAAAAGCATGATTGATTGCATAATGACTGAGACCATCTAGTGCAATTAGTATCCATTGGAGGTTGTTCAGTAGCAGGTGGTAGTATTTACTAGGATAGAAAACATTTCTTCTGCATGGACAAAGGGCAATCACACATGAAAGTACATGTATTGACAATACTACTTTATATTCAATATTACACCTCAATCATATTACCTACCAATAGTTGAGTTTAATTGTTCAATTAAACCTTGAATATATGTTGACACAAAGATGCCAAGATATGAACTCAGCAATATGATACAGGATAAACTTACGTATAAATAGTTTTTTTGGTTCATTTTTAAGGTCACATTCAGCAATATACCTATCAATACATATAATATGCATTGTTTCCAAAAATCAGTTCATAAACTGCTACTGATCCAAATTTTAGCTTTCTCATATGTGACCAACCATGAGATCAGTGACCACATGGGTGAAAAATCACATTATGACTTCTTATTGTATTGTAAAACTACAGAATCTTGGGAACACAAAAATACAATTTATAATCTTCAATTCATATTTATTAGATACATGGCATCAAACATTTGGACTCCTTTTCTGCAAAGTCCATTTTTTCAGACATGTAACTGTCTACATAATTATTGCAGTTTTTAGACATAATGTCGGATTAATTGAGTGAGTGAGTATGGTTTTACGCCGCTTTTAGCAGTATTCCAGCAATATCACGGCGGGGGACACCGGAAAATGGGCTTCACACATTGTACCCACGTGGGGAATCGATACCGGGTCTTCGGCGTGACGAGCAAACGCTTCAACCACCAGGCTACCCCACCGCCCCTCGGATTAATTGAAAGTTGACATGTATGCTGAAATGTTTTTAAAAAACCTTATATTACATAAAGAACTAAAAAGCAAAAAATAAGATATTTCAGTCCTTACACATGGCGAAATTAAGGAAGTAAATTGACATCAAACGTCTTTTTTTAAGACGTCACAGCACAATTGCATCCTAGCACCCATAAGGTCCCTTTTCTCCTGGTGGGTCACATGTGAAGTCTACTGTAATACCGTGTATCAATATTCAACCTCATGATGCTGATCATGCATTGTTGTTGTCACATGAACATGCAACACCATTGTAATATGAAATGTATGCAAATTTACCCATATTAGTATAGTGATAAATATACATGACATAGACCTTCACATAAATTTTCCCATCATGAACAAAGTATGTCAATACATATTGTAGAAAGATGTTCCAGACCAAGTTGAGATATATTTATGTGATACAACTAAAATTTGCAAAATGTATTTTGTTCAAGAAATATATGAAGGGACTCTACCTACAGGTCAGATGCAGTGAAATTGGGTTTAACACCAATTGCAAGCATGTGCGTGTGTGTTTACCTCGCTCATACACAGTAAACTGAATCCAACCAACATGACCAAAATGATACATGTACATCAGCACAGTGAATTATTTCACAGTTTAAAGATAATCAGTAAAATATACCTGATATTTGTTAGTATGGAAACACCTGGGGAATTTCTTTGTGTGGGCTGATTAATCTGATCAAATATGTACGGCATACCCAATATTGATAGGATAATAAGATATTGATTGAGGTTAATTAACCAATTGAACTTTTGTGAACCTAAATAGAAACCTTGACATGTTGACTGAACACAGTAACAGTGTCAACAGCCATTCATATTTGTGCGATACTTTTGTTTACACTGATAAGATAATGAAGAAAGCTCTATATTTGCAAATTTGCTTGTTGCAAATAAAAACAAATGAGCACTTCCGAAATACTTCATAGAATGGTCACGATGAGAAATATTGTGGATTTACTGTCATACTGGTTTTGCCTGTACTATCAATAAATCTATTACAAATAGTAACAGCTGTGAATTTAGACAAAAACATCAACAAGTTCTTGTAAACATTGTGCGTAATATGGACAACATTCAACCTAAATAATGTAACATACATCTTATATGTGAAAGCCAGCAAACACCTGTGATACAAAGACAGGATCAAATATCAATAACTTCATAGACGTGGTGCAATAGCCCTTGGCACGAAATGAAACCCGTCATATCCAAAAATATCAGTGACATTTCTAAATCTAGGCCACAAGACTTGAAAGAAAATATAAATGCAAACAGTGTGAAAAATGACACCTTACCATTATCATAGATAGGTTCTAGTTTATCGACAGAGCTGAGCGAGAATAGTTTATATCCACATTTGGTACCGACAGCGATGGACCTGAAATAAAAATTGACAACAGTTAGTTTTGCAGTCAGCTGAGATGGGAGGCATTTGCCAAACAAAAACAAACGGAATGGGGTCAGGGGTGGTAATTACGACTGGGAATTTCTGATGAAAATAAGCGTCAACATACGTGCAATCTTGATTAAAATTGACAAACAACAGGTTAGACTGCTGCTCCCCGGCCTGGCTTGCTAGGTTCATTAGGCCAGAGACGCCCGAAGAGACAGTATTGTAGATGTAGTCCGTTTTGCCTCTCTGCTGTCACAAGCAAAACAGAGATGGCCATAAAGCTGACAATAACTACAGACGAACGTCTTTGTTACAGGCTCGTTGATTGGTTCATCTTGAGTGACGTCACAGAAGAAGACAGGGGCAATTAACTCTCAATACTACACGTACAAACGTTTACATCAGCGTACACTTTTAAAGCTGCTGTGCGCATATATTAATTGCATTGTCATTTGAATGCGTTATGTTTTTTTATTTAAAAAGTGCTCATAATAATTAGAATGGACAACCAAATCACCACAAGAGTAAACAGTTTTCAAAAGTAAACAAATAGTTTGAAATAAAAAAAAAACCTAGCACAACAGGGCTTTGGCTGCATTTAAAACAATATTTCTCGAGCATACTTTTGTCAAAAGTGAGGAGTGAGGTAGTACTTTTTTCAAGTGAAAACAGAAGTGCTGATGGAGGAACACTTTATATTGTTTTTTCCCCACGATGAATACCAACCACGACAAACAGGCACACAGCTCATTATACAATACGTTTTTGTTTTGTATGTTTACCGCTCTCGGCAATATTCTTGCTATATGATGGCGGTCTGTAAATAATCGAGTCTGGACCAGACAATCCAGCGATTGACACCAGGAGACGCAATTGTGATACGATGACATGCATCAACCAAGTCAGCATGTATTTATGTGTGTGTGTGTGTGTGTGTGTGTGTGTGTGTGTGTGTGAGTGTATGTATGTCATTTACGCATTTGAAAATGAAGGTTGTTGACTAATGCTGGTTTGTTTTGGTGGCAGACGTGTTTTTTGGTGCAAAATGCACATGTTTGGTGTCCAAATTGAGTACGCCAAATATACATGCCTCTTAACAAGGCAGTTTGCATATTGGAATGCCCATTTTAATTACAAAAATGTGCTGACATAGAAAAACTAAACCAGGAATGCTCATTTTAATAAAAAAAATGTGCTGACATAGGAAAGCTAAAAATAGGAATTCTCATTTTAATCACAAAATTGTGCTGACATAGGAAAACTAAAAATAGAATAAATAAACACAAATGGCTGAATCGAGTTGTGAATCAAAGTGTGTCGAAATCATGAAAAACATAATTCTGATTTCATTTTAAAATTATTACAAACTGAAGATAATGTAAAGTCTATATTGTCAATGATGTCGTTTGATATCTTAAAATCTGCATAAATGCTTACGAGCTCAGAGAAAATGTAGGTTTTAGAAATTTCTTAAAATGTAGTAAATGTGTTACATATTGTCGGTAACTCTTTCACAAATCTATTAGTTTACTCCAATACAGTAAGATGTATCTAGTCACCGTCACTGTCACTCAAGCTTTCAGGTTAATCATGTGCAGAGCAGGTGCAGCGGTCAGTACATGGCAGTCAAGACATAAGGCAAGGACACTATCTGGACACGACGACACGACGAGGTGAAGTGAAATTGGGTCTAACGTCGCGTCCAAGATTATTGCACTTATATAGCGACGTGCATGCACGTGTGTGTGGCTACTTGTACTAGTCAGGACTGATGCCGATTTATAGAGCTAACTCACTGATATACCATGCCGCAGTTTAACATGAATACCACACTCAGTCACAGTATACTGACTTCGAGCCGACTAGTCCTTGTTTTAACCCCTTTAATGCCGAGCGCCAGACAGGGTAACAACAAGTACCATATTTTAACGTCTTTTGGTATGACGCGGCCGGGGATCGAACTCCGGACCTTCCGCTCTCCGGGCGGACGCTCTACCACAAGACCACGGACGCGGTACCATTGCATGATATGTCACTGCAGATGGGATGAGGGATGTATCTGATTGGACGGGACCACAGTGGTTTACAGACAAGTTGTGTTCAAGGCCGCCATTGTCACCCCGTACAGTACTGTGCGGCCATATTGGTGGCTGCAGTTTTAAGGGTCTGGCCACTAATCTATGAACAACAAAATTAATAGACATAAATAAATAAAAATTGAATGAATAAAAATCTAACTCATAGGAGTATTCAGTACCCTACCTTTGAAATATACTGATCTAAAAAACAACAATCAGAATAAGAAATGATTTTTTCACATGATTATGATTTCAACTGACCAGTGCATGCGATCACGGTGAGCACCGTCACCAGAAACTTACCATAACTAACCCCCTATTGTTCTACAGTCTACTGCTTACTGTTGTTTTATCGATGTTGGGCAATCTGGGTGGTCATCATAACTGAAAATACGTAAAGGATTAAAGGGATCTGAGGGGACGCTGATTGCGCAAACGTAGTTAATATATTAAAAGATTAGAACTGTGTTGCACCTCAAATAATGCACAGTAATATTTGAAGGAATGAAATTCACAACAATATACTCAGTTTACGCGAGAAGAATCCAAATAATATATTTAATTATTGCATGGACATGTTGTCTTAGAATTCGTACCCATGCAGCATCCTATGCCAGACTCGATAATTTACAGGCTGTCGCCATATACAATATAGCTGGAATATTTCTGAGTGCGGCGTTAGGCAACAAACAAAAGTGTCTCCGCCGGGATGTTTTGGGGATGATGATAAAACCGTAAAACCACACTCATTCACTCACTAAAAGCGGCGTAAAGGCACACTCATTCACTCAATAAAAGCGGCGTAAAACTACACTCATTCACTCAATAAAAGCGGCGTAAAACCACACTCATTCACTCACTAAAAGCGACGTAAAACCACACTCATTCACTCACTAAAAGCGGCGTAAAGGCACAATCATTCACTCACTAAAAGCGGCGTAAAACTACACTCATTCACTCACTAAAAGCGGCGTAAAACTACACTCATTCACTCACTAAAAGCGGCGTAAAGCCACACTCATTCACTCACTAAAAGCGGCGTAAAGCCACACTCATTCACTAACTAAAAGCGGCGTAAAGCCACACTCATTCACTCGCTAAAAGCGGCGTAAAGCCACACTCATTCGCTCACTAATAGCGGCGTAAAGCCACACTCATTCACTCAATAAAAGCGGCGTAAAGCCACACTCATTCACTCACTAAAAGCGGCGTAAAGCCACACTCATTCACTCACTAAAAGCGGCGTAAAGCCACACTCATTCACTCACTAAAAGCGGTGTAAAGCCACACTCATTCACTCACTAAAAGCGGTGTAAAGGCACACTCATTCACTCACTAAAAGCGGCGTAAAGCCACACTCGTTCACTCACTAAAAGCGGCGTAAAGCCACACTCATTCACTCACTAAAAGCGGCGTAAAGCCACACTCATTCACTCACTAAAAGCGGCGTAAAGCCACACTCATTCACTCACTAAAAGCGGCGTAAAGCCACACTCATTCACTTACTAAAAGCGGCGTAAAGCCCTATCGGCTTCCTGATAAGAATAACGTACGTTGACCATAAACCATGTCTTCTGTCAGGTCTTGGAATGTCATTGAGAAGTGATTCACATGAGAGAGAGAATTTATGGATGTCAACTTCTTTATTGTGAGGAACAGAGGCGGTGGGATAGCGTTCGCTCGCCACATGGGAACAAAGCCCATTTGAAGCCCATTCCTGGTATTCCCCGCCGTCATATTGCAGGAATATTGTTAAAGGTGGCGTAAAACCATACTCACTCACTATTATGAGAAACACAACGTTTCGGACTATATGGTTACTCGTTCATCGGGTAATGACGGAGTAGGCATATACTCCGAAATGTTGTGTTCCTCATAATAAAGAAGTAAACATACCTAATTTCTCTCTCCTGTCTCCTGTCGTCAAAATACCCAACTTGATCTAATTGATCTGAGTTTTGTATTGTGTATAACATTAACTAAACCATTATTTCATAACACTTTTCATATCAACAGAAAATGTGCTGAATTCTGTAGTCATGTAAAACATGAGTGATTGTTAAAGCGATACATCCCTTTCCATGACACAGATATTAAAGGTAGAACACAACTTCTTTTGTATTTCTTTACTTTCTTAAAAGCCCATATCGCTGTTCAGAGTTGCGTAAAGAGTTGCGTCCCCTTGCGTAACTCAAGCATCAGCGGATTCTGGGTTCGAATCACAGGTTCGTACTGATCCTGATCCCTGGTTTGTCAACACTATATACCAGTGGTCGTGAGTTTCACCAAAGCGGAAAACGTCTACCACCTGCCGCTGTGTCCCATTGGGCTTTCCTTCCAAATTGAGCGGAACGCACACACACGCACGCACGCACGCACGCACGCACGCGCGCGCTGACTTGGTTCATGCTTGTCATCGTATCCCAATTGCGTGGATCGATGCGCATAATGTCAATCATTGGATTGTCCGGTCCAGACTCGCTCATTTACAGACCGCCATCCTATAGCTGGAATCTTGCTGAGTGTAGAAATAAGAGAACAAACACAAACACGCTCGCACGCAGAAACACGTACACTCACACACCAAAAAACACCCAACAAACATCATAATCCACTTGGGAGACCATGTTCCTCTACCTTAGTGCAAAATAACTTAGAACTCATAATTCGTAATCGTTGAAAGACGGTGATCCAAACAATGTTTTTATTACACGGTGTCCGTCACTAAAACTATACTTAATGTATTCCATTCCGGGGGTCGCTGTTCATAATTGTGAGACCATGTTGTAATTCATTGATAACTCGCATGGTGACGCAGGAATGCCCCTGCGTGAGGCTACCTCCTTCAGAGCTGCCGGAGATAAATGCACCAATGATCACTCCACGGGACTCAGTCTTGGTATATATAACATGTGTATTTCCTTTGAAATTTCTTAAGGTACATTCGTTAGCAGTGTAACATGTATGCACGTTTTTGAAGACGGGAAAATGTTTTAGAACCACTAGGTATGTGATTTTGTTTTGATAAGGGTGAAAACATACTTAATCAATTGATGACATGCAATTTGATCATGATTATTTTTTTGTAACATCTGTTTTGTGATGCGTCTGTGTATTCATTCGCAATTCGCACCCGAAGGTGACGGGATCCGCTTGTTGTGGGTTCGAATCCAAGATTCGGTCTCATTATGATTGTTGGTGTGTCAGCACCATTTCTGCGCTCGTTGGTTTGATATACATATACAAGGTCCATTATTCAGGGCTTTCATCCTATATTAACCTGATGCACACACGTGATATCACCGAAATAATTTCCAATGCGGAAAAATCGCAATTGAATCTTTATACATTATTCATAAATGATGCTTATGTTTATCAAATTCACCTTTCAGCAAATAGGGTTTTATTCAAAGAATATTACCACACACGACGTTATCCCAACAGTACTTGTTGTTACCCTGCCTGGCGCTCGGCATTAAGGGGCAAAAAACAAGGACTGGTCGGCTCGGAGTCAGTAAACTGTGTCTGAGTGGAGTATTCATGTTACACTGCGGCATGGTATCTCAGTGGGCTAGCACTATAAATCGGCATTAGTTCGGACTAGTACAAGCAGCCACATAAACACTGGCATACACATCGCTATATAAGTGCAATAATCTTGGACGCGACGTTTAGCCCTATTTCACCTCACCTCACCTTATCCCAACATGTCGTTTTCATAATGCATTTTGTAGACATAGTCCCGCCACAGATTGGACAGAATGACATACCATCTAATCATCGGAGCTGTGTGTTGGGTAATATTGGTCGACCGCATCCACTGTAAGGTAATTTAAATGCATAACGAGTTAATGTGAACTACTTGCATCATTGTCAATTAATACGAATCTTTATGTAATTTGAGACCTAAAGCATATTCAGAAATCAATGCAAGTTCAAAAAAGGGTTTTACAATAAACTGAAAAACAATATAATTACGTGAGTTTCATCGACTATTTATCAACAACAAATTCTTTGTTTTAGCCAATTTTGGACCATGGACAGAATGAGATTTCTTCAGTGGACAACACACAGGAGGGCGTAGTTGACGCAAGATATCTAACGGCGCACGACATTATTCTAGCGGCTAATGAAGGTACGTTCAACATCACACAATAAAAAACCGCACACACACACGCACGAACGCACGCACACACACATAAACACATACATGTGAAACACTCGTAAAATGTATTCCATGAGTCAGTACCTATCCTACATGAGACACATCCGTGAAATATTGCTTGCGTTGTATGACTTGCTTTGAAGAGCTTATAATTACCCATAAACTATTTTGTCCTCAGACATAACAGTTTAATAATATTTGGTTAATACAAGCAGTAGTACCCCAGGTATTTATTTTCTTTGGAGTTTTGTAACCTTTAATCATATATTTCATTCTCTTGCTACAGCGAATGGTATCAATCTGTTCGAGGGAGACATCAAGTCATTGCCGCCACGGGTAAGTGAGTGAGTGAATGAATGTCGTTTTACGCCGCATCCAGCACCATTCCACCAGGAAGCCCATTAACATTTATAGACCAGACAAAGCAGTGGCTCTCATTTTAGTCTGTTCTTGGAAGTATTTGGTCCAAGGGTCATATTCTGATCATGAATACTCAGGTGCGTCTGTGTACATGTTACCTGCATGTATGTAAGAGACCCGTGACGATCCGGGGAAGAATCGGTCTTCAGCAACCCATCCTTGCCGTAAAAGGCAACTATGCTTGTCATAAGAGGTGACTAACGGGATCGGGTGGTCAGGCTCGCTGACTTGGTTGATGCATGTCATCGATCCCAATTGCGTGGATCGATGCTCATGATGTTAATCATGGCATTGTCTGGTCCAAACTCGATTATTTACAGACCTCCGTCATATAACTGGAATATTGCTGACTGCGGCGTTAAACAACAAACCAACAACAACGTATGTAAGACTATTGGATAGAATGTCAGATAGAAGGTCGGTGGTTGGATCCCCGACATACCAAAAGACGTTAAGTGTTGGTACTTGCTGTTACCCTACATGACGCTTGGCATTACGGGGATATACTGTGTCTAGGTGGGGTATCCATGATTACTAAGTTTGAAATTCTTATTACTATATGTCATTTATAACATATGATATAACATATTTCGTTGCTGCAATGTAAGGCGCATGTAAAAAAGGTTAACCAAGCTGTCGGTGATTTTCAGTATCGAACAGCAGTGAGTGACCGATCCCGCCTGTGGCCAGAGACCACCATACCTTACACCATGGACGCTAGATATGGTCAGTACATGTGATTTGCGGAACACTATTTTTGCAATGATGCATGAATCATACCCTGTTAAGTATCTTTCTCGATATGTCACGGAAAGGGACCATAAAAATGTGTAGACATGTGGAGGACATTTCCAATTTTTTTGTATCACCAACAAAACGCAATTCCATATTTGGACTTGTAATATATGTTTTCGTGTAAATATATAAATATGCAATGAAGTAAATCGCCTACCTGGGGCATGTAATTGTCGTTTTTTAAACATTTTGACCCCCCCCCCCCCCCCCCCCCCCACACACACACACACACACACACACCCCACACCCCACACCCCACACCCCACACCAAAATCCAAAGTTATAAAATGACCGACACCATGTGTCATATAACGTTTGTTAAGTCTGGAACGTTTTGTTCTTTTCATCATCAGACTCCGATGAAGTGGCATCCATAGTGGAGGCGCTCGCGGAATTCCACAACAAGACCTGCATGCAATTTGTTCCAAGGAAGGGAGAACAGGATTACATATACTTCGTGCAACACAAAGGGTAAAGGGCTTTAGATGTATACATGTTATTCAATTCGACACATTTATGGAAATATTCTTATACAGATAATACAGATCTGACAGATAATGTAAATGTATGTCCTGAGTTAGTGAGTGAGTGACGCCGCTTTCAACAGTATTCAAGTGATAACACAGCGTCTCAGCTTAACGTGGAGGAAAGTGTTGCAGGTCTTAGACGTTTACCGCTTTGGTGAAACCCAAGAGCACGAGTGTGGTGCTGACAAACCTAGAAGCGGGATTCGAACCGTAAATCCACCGCCATGTATACGTCAAATACGAGGGGTGGGTGTAGTGGGGTTGGGATGGGTTCCAGGGGGTCCGGGCCCCCTCCCCCTTTTGTAAACGAAATTTAGTATGCTGTAGGCAGAAATATTGACAGAGAGAAGATTTTCATATTTTGGACCCCTCCTTTTTAAAATGTTGGATCCGCCCTTGTAATATCACGTCATGTCAGACAGTTGCGATGTCTTAGACGACTGGGCATTCTAAGGTCATTGGAAACATCGGAAACTGTTGGAAGTACTCTATTCAAGTGGTATAATTACAACTTCCGTTCTACACCGACACTGGCGTGCTTCTGACATATTTTCCTCTCGCATTTGGGAAATGTTTTAACGGTTCCCGTGGATGTAGCTCTGCAACACGTTTTCTCCCCGCTGCAGCTGCTACTCATCGGTGGGCCGGACCGGCGACCAACAGGAGCTCACCCTGGGCAAGCCCTGTCTGTCCAGGGGCACGGCCATCCACGAGATCATGCACGCCCTGGGGTTTTGGCACGAACAGAACAGATCCGACAGAGACTCCTACATCCAGATTTTATGGGACAACATCAAGGATGGTGCGGTAGTTTTTTTTCACACGTAGACGGCGTTTTAAGGTTTTTGATAAAGATTGCATCTGGACGTCAAAGGTAGACATGGCGTACTTAAAGATACTTTGCTATCGAAGGCCTTTTAATCAATTTATAAATTTGTAGATATTAAGTAAGGATAAGATATATTGATGAACAACTTCTTTATTACAATTCGGAGCGACGTTTCGGTGTTTCAAACTGTTCCAATCAGTCATAATCCTTTTGTTCATATTACTGGCTTCACCCTTTTGTTCATATTACTGGCTTAATCCTTTTGTTTATATTACTGGCTTCACCCTTTTGTTCATATTACTGGCTTCACCCTTTTGTTCATATTACTGGCTTCACCCTTTTGTTTATATTACTGGTTTCACCCTTTTGTTCATATTACTGGCTTCACCCTTTTGTTCATATTACTTGCTTCACCATTTTGTTCATATTACTGGTTTCACCCTTTTGTTCATATTGCTGGTTTCACCCTTTTGTTCATATTACTGGCTTAATCCTTTTGTTTATATTACTGGCTTCACTCTTTTGTTTATATCACTGGCTTCACTCTTTTGTTTATATTACTGTCTTCACCCTTTTGTTTATATTACTGGCTTCACCCTTTTGTTCATATTACTGGCTTAATCCTTTTGTTTATATTACTGGCTTTGCCCATTTGTTCATATTACTGGCTTCACACTTTTGTTTATATTACTGGCTTCACCTTTTTGCTCATAATACTGGCTTCACATTATTGTTTATATAACTGGCTTCACCATTTTGTTTATATTACTGGCTTCACCCTTTTCTTTACATTACTGGCTTCACCTTTTTGTTTATATAACTGGCTTCACTCTTTTGTTTATATTACTGTCTTCACCCTTTTGTTTATATTACTGGCCTCACCCTTTTGTTTATATTACTGGCTTCACCCTTTTGTTTATATCACTGGCTTCACTCTTTTGTTTATATTACTGGCCTCACCCTTTTGTTTATATTACTGGCTTCACCCTTTTGTTTATATTACTGGCCTCACCCTTTTGTTTACATTACTGGCTTCACCCTTTTGTTTATATTACTGGCCTCACCCTTTTGTTTATATTACTGGCTTCACCCTTTTATTTATATTACTGGCTTCACCTTTTTGTTTATATCACTGGCTTCACTCTTTTGTTTATATTACTGTCTTCACCCTTTTGTTTATATTACTGGCCTCACCCTTTTGTTTATATTACTGGCTTCACCCTTTTGTTTATATTACTGGCTTAATCCTTTTGTTCATATTACTGGCTTAATCATTTTGTTTATATTACTGGCTTCATACTTGTGTTTATATTACTGGCTTCATCCTTTTGTTTATATTACTGGCTTCAACCTTTGTTTATATTACTGGCTTCACCCTTTGTTTATATTACTGGCTTCACCCTTTTGTTTATATTACTGGCTTCACCCTTTTCTTTACATTACTGGCTTCACCTTTTTGTTTATATCACTGGCTTCACTCTTTTGTTTATATTACTGTCTTCACCCTTTTGTTTATATTACTGGCCTCACCCTTTTGTTTATATTACTGGCTTCACCCTTTTGTTTATATCACTGGCTTCACTCTTTTGTTTATATTACTGTCCTCACCCTTTTTTTCATATTACTGGCTTCACCCTTTTGTTTATATTACTGGCCTCACCCTTTTGTTTATATTACTGGCTTCACCCTTTTGTTTATATTACTGGCCTCACCCTTTTGTTTATATTACTGGCTTCACCCTTTTGTTTATATTACTGGCTTCACCTTTTTGTTTATATCACTGGCTTCACTCTTTTGTTTATATTACTGTCTTCACCCTTTTGTTTATATTACTGGCCTCACCCTTTTGTTTATATTACTGGCTTCACTCTTTTGTTTATATCACTGGCTTCACTCTTTTGTTTATATTACTGTCTTCACCCTTTTGTTTATATTACTGGCTTCACCCTTTTGTTCATATTACTGGCTTAATCCTTTTGTTTATATTACTGGCTTTGCCCATTTGTTCATATAACTGGCTTCACACTTTTGTTTATATTACTGGCTTCACCTTTTTGCTCATAATACTGGCTTCACATTATTGTTTATATAACTGGCTTCACCATTTTGTTTATATTACTGGCTTCACCCTTTTCTTTACATTACTGGCTTCACCTTTTTGTTTATATAACTGGCTTCACTCTTTTGTTTATATTACTGTCTTCACCCTTTTGTTTATATTACTGGCTTCACCATTTTGTTTATATTACTGGCTTCACCCTTTTGTTTATATCACTGGCTTCACTCTTTTGTTTATATTACTGGCTTCACTCTTTTGTTTATATTACTGTCTTCACCCTTTTGTTTATATTACTGGCCTCACCCTTTTGTTTACATTACTGGCTTCACCCTTTTGTTTATATTACTGGCCTCACCCTTTTGTTTATATTACTGGCCTCACCCTTTTGTTTATATTACTGGCTTCACCCTTTTGTTTATATTACTGGCCTCACCCTTTTGTTTACATTACTGGCTTCACCCTTTTGTTTATATTACTGGCCTCACCCTTTTGTTTATATTACTGGCTTCACCCTTTTATTTATATTACTGGCTTCACCTTTTTGTTTATACCACTGGCTTCACTCTTTTGTTTATATTACTGTCTTCACCCTTTTGTTTATATTACTGGCCTCACCCTTTTGTTTATATTACTGGCTTCACCCTTTTGTTTATATTACTGGCTTAATCCTTTTGTTCATATTACTGGCTTAATCATTTTGTTTATATTACTGGCTTCATACTTTTGTTTATATTACTGGCTTCATCCTTTTGTTTATATTACTGGCTTCAACCTTTGTTTATATTACTGGCTTCACCCTTTGTTTATATTACTGGCTTCACCCTTTTGTTTATATTACTGGCTTCACCCTTTTCTTTACATTACTGGCTTCACCTTTTTGTTTATATCACTGGCTTCACTCTTTTGTTTATATTACTGTCTTCACCCTTTTGTTTATATTACTGGCCTCACCCTTTTGTTTATATTACTGGCTTCACCCTTTTGTTTATATCACTGGCTTCACTCTTTTGTTTATATTACTGTCCTCACCCTTTTTTTCATATTACTGTCTTCACCCTTTTGTTTATATTACTGGCCTCATCCTTTTGTTTATATTACTGGCTTCACCCTTTTGTTTATATTACTGGCCTCACCCTTTTGTTTATATTACTGGCTTCACCCTTTTGTTTATATTACTGGCTTCACCTTTTTGTTTATATCACTGGCTTCACTCTTTTGTTTATATTACTGTCTTCACCCTTTTGTTTATATTACTGGCCTCACCCTTTTGTTTATATTACTGGCTTCACCCTTTTGTTTATATTACTGGCTTAATCCTTTTGTTCATATTACTGGCTTAATCATTTTGTTTATATTACTGGCTTCATACTTTTGTTTATATTACTGGCTTCATCCTTTTGTTTATATTACTGGCTTCAACCTTTGTTTATATAACTGGCTTCACCCTTTTGTTTATATTATTGGCTTCACCTTTGTTTATATTACTGGCTTCACCCTTTTCTTTACATTACTGGCCTCACCCTTTTGTTTATATTACTGGCTTCACCCTTTTGTTTATATTACTGGCTTCATACTTTTGTTTATATTACTGGCTTCATCCTTTTGTTTATATTACTGGCTTCAACCTTTGTTTATATAACTGGCTTCACTCTTTTGTTTTTATTACTGGCTTCACCTTTTTGTTTATATTACTGGCCTCACCCTTTTGTTTATATTACTGGCTTCACCCTTTTGTTTATATTACTGGCTTAATCCTTTTGTTCATATTACTGGCTTAATCATTTTGTTTATATTACTGGCTTCATACTTTTGTTTATATTACTGGCTTCATCCTTTTGTTTATATTACTGGCTTCAACCTTTGTTTATATAACTGGCTTCACTCTTTTGTTTTTATTACTGGCTTCACCTTTTTGTTTATATCACTGGCTTCGTCACTGGCTTCACCCTATTTTACTGGCATCACCGATCAATATGTTTACCCTTTTGTGTACATACCATGCTTCTTCAGTCCAGTGTACTACACCTTAAATCTTCTCTACTGTATAAACACTGCCTCCTTTGTCAACCATACTCTGTACATCACTTGTTTAATATCGGTGTTAGAACCTCCACCGAAACATAGCTCCTTATTGTAATTAAGAAGTTGTTCATCCATTTATCTTATTCTTACTTAGTACTGCAATTTCTAAATGGCCCTCAAAGAAGTTCTGATATTAAACTTTGTACATCTTGGATGAAATCGTGCCTAACGGATGCTTCTCTGCTATGCTCCCCACGTTTATGGATATTTTTAGAACATAAGTTCTAAGGTAAAGATATACAAATGTGTGAACCGTTAACCACAATATCATGATACAGTTGATGTATTACGCTTCTTCACACCGTTCGCAGGCATATCTTGCTTCAGTTTCTGTATAAGTTTAAAGTGAATAAGTGAATTATTTCCAATGTTTCATTGGTAGATTTACTATAGGTATCCACTTATATCTATACTAGTTTAAATGTGTTCGCGCGACACAAGAATATTAATAAAATGCAGTTATACCCCAACACACTTGCCTCTTCCACACAGGTCGAGAGTTTAATTTCGAGAAGTTCCCTATTAGCGACGTGGATGTCCTAGGCGCCCCCTACGACTACGGCAGCATCATGCACTACTCAGGGACGGCCTTCTCAAAGAACGGACAGAACACTATAAGGACTAAAAAGCCCACCACATTCATCCTGGGACAGAGGGACCACCTCAGTATTGTAGATGCATGGAAAGTCAACAAACTGTACAACTGTGTCCCCACACACAGTAAGTCACTGATTAGTGGGTGAGTGAGTTGGGTTCAACGCCACTTTTAACAATATTCCAGTTATATCACGGCGTGTCAGCTTAATGTGGGAGGAAAGCCCGAAGTGATGTAGCTATAGTTGTCAGACGTTTACCCCTTCGATGAAACCCACGAGCACGGGTATGGTGCTGACAAACCTAGAAACATAATCGAGGCGAACCTGGATTCGAACCCACAATCATAGGTTTCTGGCGTGGCCAAGGGACGCAACTCTGCACAGAGAATCGCGGCGCCTTAGTCGACTGGGCCACCTGTGCCCCCAAGTCATTGATGTATACAGTAGGGTTTTACCTTGACTTACAAAGCAATAGTTACTTTAAGGGTGCTTACAGGCAACATGAGGGTCCTGTAACGAAATGATACGGTGTAGTGTACTCTACATCTTGATAATTACTTCAGAGCCTAGAATTAATTAATGATCATGTGGATAGTGGTCATTGTTGATGGATGAAATGACAGACACATCACTGCTCTTGATGCGCTGTAGGTACAATGAATATTATTGTGCGTCCTTCATGACGCAGTATATTTTTTATGCGTCTACTCTCTAAAATTGTGCGTACTTGACGCACATTTGTGCGTCTCGTAAAATCCTCATACAGTCACTCCGCTTAGGGTACGGGATAAAAGATTCTCTCACACACTTACTCGCCTAGCACAGGTTCATTAACCAACAGGCTTGTACCATTGTTGCCCGAAGCGTCAGAAAACATTCACCCTATCACTATTGTATATGGTGCTGGTAAGACTGGAGTGTTCTATTGTTAAAGACAGTTGGATGGAGGAACTTGTTCTGTTGTTGTTAGGAATAGCTGGGTCGAAGTTTGTTCTTTCGTATGGCTTGTGGTATTGTTTGTGAGAATGAAGTGCTGGGCTTTCTGTTTGCCTAAAGGCTTCTTCCGCACCAGGGTGTTCACAATTGTTACCAATCCCGCGGCGGCGTGTTTCATCCTTCACGTAGCAGTGTTTGTGTAGCTAAAGTAGTCTCTGCCAAAGGTTGACCCACAATGTGAGGTGAGGTGAGGTGAAATTGGGTTTAACGTCGCGTCCAAGATTATTGCCCTTATATAGAGACGTGCATGCACGTGTGTGTGTGTGTGGCTGCTTGTACTAGACCGGACTGACGCCGATTTATAGTGCTAGCTCACTGAGATACCATGCCGCAGTTTACCATGAATACCCCACTCAGACAGAGTATACTGACTCCGAGCCGATCAGTCCTTGTTTTAGCCCCTTAATGCCGAGCGCCAGACAGGGTAACAACAAGTACCATCTTTTAACGTCTTTTGGTATGACGCGGCCGGGGATCGAACTCCGGACCTTCCTCTCTCCGGGCGGACGCTCTACCACTAGACCACGGAGGCGGTCTGACGTACAATGTACCTTCAGGTTTACTTATCACGCCGTTATTTCTTACGATATTAAGTGAAGGAATATGTTTGAATCCCTCTTGCAGCAACAAACCTTCACGCACCGCCACGACTTTCCACCACACCCGCAGTCGGGCCACCGACACCGCCGCCTCTCCACCCTGTCAAGGGACCACACTATGCGACTCCACCCCGACTACCCCACCGGCCCCGCACTCCGCCGCCCCTACTCACGACCACACCACACTACGCCTGGGGGTCGTTTTCCGACTGGAGTCCGTGTGACATCAACTGTAATGCCAAGAGGTCAAGGCTCTGTCTGGACTTCATCAGACAAGACTGTGGTCCGGGGGAGAGCGTCGAGAACTACGTGTGTCCGCCACCATGCATACGTATGTAGAACTAGAACAAAACCTACCAATTCAGTGTGTCTCGTTTAACGCCGCATTGATCAGTATTTAAGTTAGCAAGGCGGGGAACCCTACTCTCACTTTGAATTGTTTGATAGTCATTGCTTAGAAGCAGCCTTGCTTGACAGCGTATAAGTATCTATACCGAAACCTCGCCTTTACAGTAATTAAAGAAGTTGTTATCCATAAATTGTGTCTACTTTGTAATTAATTACTGGTATTTCCTTTAGTCTGAATAACCGCGTACGTCTAAAATACACGTTAGGCACACGTTTTTCTTGTACGATCCATCTGCATCTCAGAAAGGTTCTTTCGTCATTGATATCAAGTGGTGATCATTAATGTGTGCAGCTGCTTCATACATTGGTTGTTGGCGCAACAACGCCTCCCATCCCGCCATTCCAATGATTGAAAATCAGCATTCGAATACCTTGGAGTTCCACACACTTGAAGCTTACCGGGAGTGCGCAGACGCAGCAAATGAGCTTGGGTACCCCGTATTTGCTCTGTTCCGGGACGGGGATTGTCTCACTAGCCCGGATGCTCTGACGTCATTTGCCAAATATGGACAAAGCAGCTTGTGCGGAAAGGATGGAAGGGGAAACAACCAGGCCATGGCCGTTTACTCCTATGAGAAAGGTATTCTTTCTTTTTTTGATTTCATTTCAAGAAGTGTTGCACACCCTCTTCTGTACACTGATAGATGTTAGACTACGACGATTCAGCAGGATTAAAACGTATTTACTGGTGCGCATTATTTTCATTAATAAAATACAAAGAATTGCAAGGCTGGTATGGCCATTCGTACATCATTTTGCATCTACTGTATGAACACAATCGATCGTTTCATATGCATAATTAGAAAAAAGATGTTTAGATTTGATTGGACACTTACCGTCACGTGGTTTAGATGAACTTTTACTATAATGGCAGAAACAATATCCAACCGCAACGAAAGAAGATTCTTTTTAGCAGAATACAGTGTTATATATTCAAAGAACGTTATTGACTTAACAAAGAATTAATAGTCATTCAAGAGACAGAAAGAGAAATATGATAGCAGGTGCAGTTGCTTATCAAATTTTGGGATCAAAATGCAATATTACAAAATAGTCGAAATGATGCAACTCAACCCGAGAACAACTTCAAATGAAATTAAAACATATTCTTCAAAAAACGAACAAATGATTTCGAATGTTCTGTTCATCACTTCCAGACATCGATGGAGAATGGGGGACGTGGGGGGAGTGGGAGCGGTGCAGCCAGCCATGTGGTGGGGGGACACAGTTGCGGAGGAGGTTCTGCAGCAACCCCCCTGCTGTAGGATCCGGGACACCGTGTCAAGGCGAGACCAACGTGTCCCAGTCTTGTAACACCACGCCGTGTCAGGGTAAGTAAACACTGGACATGGGTAACGTAATAGTATAGATAAACTGGAGTAGTAGTAGTTGGGTGCATAGCGCAACTCTTACCTGTATTTCATTCTGTGGCCAAACATACCGGAATTTACATTTACACACGCCAGACATATGATGCTGAGCAATAGATGTTAATCGGGGCGAATCCGGTTTTCAAAATCTTGTGGGTCTGAAAAAATTGCCAATCCCCATGCAACAGACTAACCGATATGTAGTTAGTGAAGTAGCTATTTGTGACATAATTTGGAGATGTCATGCTTACCACTTGCTGTGTTGCGTGCGGATTGTGTGGGTGGCGGCTGGTGTTGGTTGGGCGGGGCATGCATGCCCTTTCAGCGGGTCGTCGCTGGTTTTCAGTGGTCCGTTAGTGTGGTTTTCACCAGTGTATTCTGTTTCGGCAGATGATCTGGACGAGTTGTTCTCTGTTTCGGCAGATGATCTGGACGAGTTGTTCTCTGTTTCGGCAGATGATCTGGACGAGTTGTTCTCTGTTTCGGCAGATGATCTAGACGAGTTGTACTCTGTTTCGGCAGATGATCTAGACGAGTTGTTCTCTTTTTCGGCAGATGATCTGGACGAGTTGTTCTCTGTTTCGGCAGATGATCTGGAGGAGGTGTTCTCTGTTTCGGCAGATGATCTGGACGAGTTGTTCTCTAGCGTTGACATTTCTATTTTTATGAATAGACAAGTGACAATATCACGTGCAACCTTAAGTATGACTGAACCAATGTAACACTTATTACCATTGTAGACTACTGGTAGAACATGCTTTCGTGCATGACTTTGGCTGTCGTTGATCCAAGGTAGCTTTCATTGAGATCCTATGTTCTTATTTACCAGATAGAGACGGCAGTTGGAGCGTTTGGGCTTCATGGAGTCCGTGTTCTAGGGCCTGTGGCGTTGGAATACAATACCGGAAACGCACGTGTGACGACCCTACTCCCTCTGGAAGCGGAAAACCGTGCCCAGGAACAGATTTGCAGAGCAACCGTTGCGTTTTGAGAGACTGTCAACGTAAGATGACATTGCGAACATTGCTCTCAGAGATAGCCTGTCGTTGACAACACAGTCGCTTATAAATAAGTCTTCGATGTCATGAGACACATTAGTCACGACGCTGGAATTTGTATTAGTGAACATATGATCAAGTTCGGGTTCCACATTATGTATAAGACGTTCCAGATAGGACGGTTGATACAGTGTTCTGAGGTGATGTTGTGGCTGAGAGAAACCACTGAGTTCTGGTTCGAGTCCCAGATACGCCCCGAATATGATCCTTGGTTTTGATCGTCACTTCCAGCTTTCATTTAAGGGGGCTAGGACCGAGCAAAATGGCGGTCCTGGTATATTCCTTTACAAAATATAAATCAAACACTACTTAGTATGCTAATAAACGTTATGGTGTATTATTAATCTACAATTTGTTAACTTGGCTAATAACACAGCGGGTGTGCAGAAATGTAAAAAGACGAGACCTAGACTTGAAATAAGCTTTTGACCGTAACACAGCTGAGGTACTGGTAGCCAACGCGGCGTGAAACCCATAAACCTGCTCTCTTTCAAAAAGGTTCAATCTGACATTTATCCAGGATATAGTTAACTTCAGAACCCAATTTCTTATGGCAGAGTCCCAAGATTGTGGCAGCGAGGCTCACTTCGGGACACACGGCTACATCCACCAAGGTCGGTACGGCAATTCCATGTCGTGTGAGTACAAGATCATCACATATACAGGGACGTCGGTGCTGCTGCAGGTGGTTGAGATGGACATCGAGTACAGCAACGGTTGTCAGGACGATTCACTCATGGTGAGTCTTTCAGCATGATGTGTGACTTTTCATGGACATGTGTTTTCTGTCTATTGAAATGTATCATGAATGTTTGAAGGTTATGGTTGTTTATGGGAAACCGAAAAAATGATCATGAATATTGTAAAACCTGAACGGCATTAACGATACGAAGTAAACGAAAATTAGTGCGGAATATACATTTTCGAATTTTATAAACCACGAAGGAGAGTTAAGGGGAGGTACATAGTGTAATCCCACTCAGAACAGACAAACCGGTGAACGATAGGATTGGCAGTGATAGATGCTTCCATACTACGAACTGGCAAATACCTCAGCCAAGTCTATCGATTTTGGCCACCCTATCCCAAATTCAGTCGTCGGAATGTTTAGGCTTCTTCATTATGGACATATATATAGAATACTAAACGAGCTCCCGTGTAATACCAATTTTATGAAACGAGTGAATAGTTGTGGTATCTGACGAGCGAAAGCGAGTCAGATACCACAACTATTCACGAGTTTCATAAAATTGGTTTTACACGGGAGCGAGTTTAGTATTTTATTTATTACTTGCAATTTATAACGTTTTTTGAATTATACTGTTGAGTATGAATAGGCTGACACCTACATGATCCACGACATAGTCCAATTGAGTTTAACAGAATAATACTTCAAACACGTCAAAAGTTGAAACGTATTAATTTCATACCATACAACGGGTCTACCTTTAGAATTCACAAAATTATCGTAGGGCTAAGACTTTCGCATCTCACATACTTTAACTTAGACCAACGACTGTCGTTGCGCTACAATACGATCGCCTTGTGGAACGGGCCTTGCACCTGAAAGTTTTCAATAACGTCACAATACCCGATGACGTAATTTGTGGAATTTTGATGCAAGATCCATCGGCGAAACAATGCCATGTGACGTCAGCCTAGCAACAAGGTTGCTGGGGTCATCGAGTGTGCATAAGCTCCTCTCAGTGATCTATCAACTCCACACGCAATGTCGTTGAATAAGCCAAGAGATGTTGAGAGCTTTCAATATTTGTTCGTGAAACGTGTTCCGAGAGTACATAAGCACGCGTTTTGGTATTACACAATGTGTAATAAAGCTGTATGTTTATTAAACGGGTGATCTCTTCACGGGCAAGTAATAAATACGTATATGTAGTGGTGTCCATATTGACAACTGTTTTTTTCGTACAGGTTTTTGACGGCAACTCCACTAGCAGTCCTCTCTTGGCGACTCTGTGTGGTAACATCAAACACTCTCCAATACGGTCTTCAGGAAACGAGCTGTTCATTCTGTTTGAGAGTGATTCCACAATAGAGGCCTCGGGATATTCACTCAAGTGGCAGATCACACACAGCACGTGTACGTATTGAGATATGTGTGTTGGTATCGATATGTGATCGTTCAGCTGCCCGTTACCGTTGGGTGGGTCGTGATTGTGTCTCTTTGTTGGTGATTGGGGTGTCACCAGGAAGGTGAATAATTCCTTACACACATTCATTTGTCAAAAGTGGAACATAATTTTCTTGATTTCCTTCGGCGAGAATATTTGTATCTGACAGTATTAATCATCATCACGAAAGTGAATAAAAGTGTTGTTTTTTTAAGTTATGGTCAATGAGCCATGTTCAGGGACATCAGAAATACTGTTAGGCCTCATGTGATGTGTCTGTGTGGACATCAGGTTCTGGTCTTAACGACTGTACACTCTACATATCACCTTTCTCAATTACAACCATATTATGTATTGTGTTTTTGTGTATTTGTTCACAAAAAGTTAATGGGATTTGGGGGACAAGTTCTCCCAGCTTAGATTGCCCTCTAAGTGTTGTTTTTTGTTGTTTTGTGGGCAGGAAACTAATATGCTGTGTCCGATTCTTCTTGTCAGATCACATGTGTGCCCGCCCAGTAGAACCTATCAACGGGGTCGTGACCGGATCTTCTACATATGTGGGAGATACATACGTGTTCAGATGCCACGCGGGTTATCATCTGATTGGTCCGTCTGTGATCACGTGTATCAGTTTTGACCAATACCATGCGGTATGGGACAATGGCTTTCCACGATGTGATGCATCGCAACCACAGCAGCCTTTAGTTGAAATTGGATAAAGGATTTACAATTCCATCATTTAATTATGTAGAGGGGAATTTCCGCGTAACTCTCCATTTTTTTAAAAATATTGTAGACGGGGCCCATTATTTTCAAGGCATGGAGAGTTACGAGGATATTCCCATTCTTAAAACACATCCCTTTTGACAAAACATTCTCTTGTGCAAAATACTTGAAAAATAAACCAGAACTCTTTGACGAGTGTATTTTTACTGTGTGAGACGCCCTTGCGTGATACACATGAAATTGGGTTTCTGCCGCTGTTGCGCATGCGCCAAGCTCCTTCCCTAGCTGATATTTATAATGCATGATACACGGCTCTTCGTAGGTCCTAAACTAGTATTCTATCAATCGCTTGCACGTTGTAAATACATGGTGTAGGGGATTTTAGCAAACGAGGAGACCTGAACAAGAATATAATTATATGTTTAACTGAATATTTTTCTCGTCAAAGCTTTACCTAATTGCTTTAAATGTGAACATTCTTATTGGTACTCTGCTGTAACATATGTGTACCTATTTAAGGAGTATGCAAATATTTGAAAATATTGAAAGTTTATTTCACACATACTGTCATGTGTCGCCAAGGCTGAGGTCGACAATTAGACGTCCTCAAATCAAATGATGAGGGTTCGAACCCTCGGGTAAAACATATTTTCCGACAAAATTTGAAATCATTCACTTGTACATGTATAAAAAAATAGTTCCGCCAATTCCGAGAGTAAATTACTTGAAATGTATGTTGAACATAATGTATAATTGACAAACAACTGTCCATTCCTGAAAAATAATGGAGGGTCAAAATAGACGTCACAGATGTGATTTAATCCTTAAAAGGAATCTTCTTTCATTTTTTTTCTACTTTATTGTTTTCGTTTTAGTTTCTCGTCTTTCTCTTTAAAGCCCCTTTCGAAGGATTTCGCAGAATATGAGCTGATGTGAGTTGGTTGAGGTTAACGCGGCTTTGAAGAGACTAATCACGGCTTATTAGCTTGTATGGGGGACATTCCAGAATCAGAATCAGTGTAACACTGATCAAGACATTTACGAATTGTTGTGTCATATCAAGGATCCTAATCAGAATGGATCATGGATTCGAACCAACAAAGCACATCGACGTAAGCAGGAACAAATATTGATAAAAAAAATATAAATCTGTCGGCGCCACGATGTTGATTAATCAAATATCGAGTAGTTTTTTTGAAGGTCGAGTTTCCGAGCTGTACAAACACGAACTTGACAAATCCGTAGACATCATTCCATGTGTTTGTTTGTAATGATGGATGCATATGTCATGCTTGTTTGACTCTGCAGATGAGCTTTTGTTTGTTTGTTTGTTTCTTATTTAACGCCTCCGGCATCAGTATTCCAGCTATACCACAGGGGCCTGTAAACAATCGAGCCTGGACCAGTCAATCCTGTGATCCCCAGTGAGGTGGATTACGCACATATAAGAAAGCACAAAGATTATATTGAAGAAAACACAACATAGTTAAGTAGTTCGTCCAACGGTTGGGCGATGTATGGGTATGAGGCATATTGTTCTTTGAAGGATGTTTCAAAATCTTACGAGTGAATGAATCTCTTCCCAATATTCAACAATCCTTCAGTTCTGCCCCAATGTCTGCCTCTGTATGGCAACGGGACTATTCTCATTTGAAACTTTAATATTAATGTACATGTGCATTTCACATTTAAGCTGTGCTAGTTATACCAAGTAAATTACAATTCATTATTTCTGTAATAGTACTCACAATTTGTACGAAAAGGTTTTATCTGCACTGGGCAACTACAACCATTTGCAGATGTTCCTATGTCCTCGCTTTGTCAGGCTTTTTGGACAATGCCACACGCATCGACATAAAAATGTGCCTCACTCGAAGACTGCATGAAATCTTTGAGAGGACAGGTGATAAACGGGATGTTTATTCTACATGTAATAAAAGTAACAAAAAACTTTCCATGTTCATAAGAAAACTCTCCCAAAAGCAGAGTCGATTGTGCGATTCCGACTGTATCATCAGCATGATTGTGTTTATGAATCACTATGAAATAATAGTGACACCAGTGCAGGTGAGCGTATCCTGTCTAATCCGTGGCGCCCGTCACACACAGGAAAGTCAGTTGTTCCATGAAAAAAACAGGCAACATATGGTCAAAATAGGGAATTGCATCGGACATATCCAATGCAGCGTCAAATTTGGAAATGTCCTCCACATGTCTAACACAAAACGTTTTGAGGACTTTAATGTTGTAACCTTGATCAAGCAGCTTCTAAAGAGTCGTAATTTAGTTTGTCTTGCATATTTTGACAAAAAACATATTTACATGACTGATATACAACTAAAATATAATAAACAAATTCAAAGGCTTGACGACACATCAGTTTTAGACTTCAATTTCACAAGAATTCGATCTCAATAAAAAAATGCACCACGGCTTATCTCCCTTTGCCAATGACGTGAATGGTGCCAATAGTGTGTCATGACAGTACTTGGACACGTGAGCAGTGTGCTGTCTTGCCAGGCAAAACGAGTATCACAAGAGAAACAACATGTTGTGGAGTCCGATTTCAGTTACCGATGTGATAGTTCCCGTGTCATTCATAAGTCACTGTGAAGATCCGGGTCAGAATTGGTCTTCAGCAACCCATACTTGGCTCGCTGTCTTGGTTGGTGCAAGTCATCTTATCCCAATTGCGAAGATCGGTTCTCACGATGTCAGCCACTGGATTGTCTAATCCAGACTCGACTATTGACAGACCGCCGTCATATAGTTGCAATATTGCTGAGTGTGGCCCTTAACAACAAACAAACAAACACAAGTCTGTTCAACTCAAAGACCAGTGGATTGATGAAGATGAAATTTTGCAAACCAAATATATATTTTATAATGTTTATAGGAATGGAAAGCTCAGAGACTTAAACTTTTTTTCAGCTTATGTTTATCCATTGCAACAATGTAGATATAAATGTAAAAGAATTGCACCGTTGTGAATTAGTTGCTTGTACGGTAGTCATCAACAGATGGAGGCAGGTATGGAGGACACTAAATGTGAGTAGTACATAATCTATTAATAGAACATCTATCCATGAAATTGCTATCTTTTTGTGCCGATGTTTTACATACAGACAGACATTTTATTCGGCATTCAAGGCCGCATGGCCCGCTGTACAGTTTCAATTGTTAGTCACGTGATATATACATGATATACAAAAACTATCTGACAGAATATATAATTATGTGTTAGCTTAATCACGTGACAAGATGTTTTACTTGTTGAAATGTAACGCCTCACGTGTTCTACGACACTGTATTATAATGTAGTTTAGACTAGTATTCATCTTGATTATGCTATATCAAATACTTAAAAGAATCTTATCAAAATTCAGTCTTAGGCATTGTTTACTGATTTTCAGTGATCCATTCAAATAACTTGATCAACTAGTTTGTCTTGAAAGCCAAAAAGGAATCCGTCTAGGTAGATAATTGCTGATTATTCTTTGTCGTTGGCTGCCTTTTATATTTACCTGGTATATGAGTGATTGAAGGAAATTGGTTTAACGCCGCCTTAAACAGTATTTTAGTCATATCACGGCGTGTCAGCTTGACGTGGGAGGAAGTGATGCAGGTGTAAGACGTGTTAGACGAGCACGAGTATGGTGCCGACAGCCTGAAAAAGATAATCAGGGAGAACGGTGACCCGAATACGCGGTCATATGTTTCTGGCATTCATATAGCTTTCACAGCTATTTTGTCTTTTACGCCTAATGTAATCTGTTTCGTCTGATAATCGAGACTGGTGTTTCTCTGGCGTTGACGTTCAATATTTAGGCAACTGGGCCACAGGTGCACCTAACTGATATGCGAGGGTTGATTGATAATTTCCGAGCCTCACATTGAAGGAATTGCATAGTAACAACATCGTTTGTTGTTGATATTACATGATGGCCATGGAAGTATAGCCGTAAAATACAAACTTAAAGAACGTGAAGTGTTCAAGTACACGACAGTTACTGAAAATAACAAGGCGAAGCCCATAAAAGCATAAGTGTTTTTTTAACGATTCCCCTGCCATTTAATATATTTACCCTTTATGATGGCATTTCATCGAGAAGGTGTAGGACGTAATGATCACTGTGGTCATTAATTAATCAATAATAAGTGCAATATGTGAATAACGATTCTTCTCGAAACCTCATGCAAACAACACTAAACAGCTTTACGCGCATGCTTGTGCATACGATAGCCATCTTATTTATATCTCATAGATCCAAATCAATACGAGGGCCATATCATTTTATCATTACGTTTATTAACCTCACATAATTAATTATTCATATCACAAATTCAATTTCCTCATAGCATTCAATACTAATGAATCTAATGTAATTTTATCGACCTCATATATTCTAGATTTAGACATCAATAAATGTAATCATGATAGCTTTAGAGGTATTTATGATACAAAGCATCGGATTTGTGCCTTCTAAACAGAATGTGTTTTTTGACACATCACAAACTCGACCAACACAAATCAATCATTCATTTTATGATAATGAGTATGATTCTTTCATCTTTTCACGATGATTCTTTTCTTGTCTGGTGATATATATCCGTGTCGCATTCATGATGTTTAAAAGTAAAAGAAAAGAAGAAAAAAAAACTAATTTGTGACATAAATAAAATGAATTATTGATATAATTAAAAAAGAAAAATTAGTTAAACGGTGCCTTAAGGTGAAGAGCAATTTTGTGTGATTGAGTTAAAATTGGGTTAACGTCGTGTTCAAGGTTATTTCACTCACTTAGCGATGTGCTTGTACTTTCGTGTGCTGTACTAGTCTGGACTTTAGTCCTTTGATAGTGCTCTCTAAGTCTTATGCCGGTTTTGTAGTGCTGTCCCAATGCTATGTCTCAGTTTAACATGGATAACCCACTCAGACTCTTGAGCTGGCCAATCCTTATTTTATCCCTATAATGCCGAGCGACAGGCAGCGCAACAACAAGTTTCATCGTTTAACATATTTTGGCATGACGTGGCCAGGAGATCGCTCTACGGACAGACGTGTTATTCACTACACCATGGATACAGTATGCGTGTGATGGAACTGTTGTTCCAGGTACAATAGTGTAATAAAACGTTTCTTCTGTTTTATTCTGTCTTCTAGAATAAACCCGCTTAGCACCGCGACGAAT